AACCAATGCACAAAGTGAACGCTAAAAATCATATGCTCGATAAGAAGTTCCTAGATGCATGGATTGATGAATAAATGCTTTTATGTATTATAAAGGCAATAGACAGAGCGACATCTTTTTAGTTGCCATAGAAAAGCATTCTTTCCCTGTTACTCTGACGCGTTCTCATATGTCAGAAGCTTCCTGACTGACTCATTTCGTCATGTATTTCCAAGGCTTCAAAATGTTGTATGAATCTGAATATTAATTTCAGTCTGGTGGCCCCCAGCTAGGACAAAAGCTGGCCGCTCGTTCACTTCACCTGTTAGGATGTTCTGTTAGGAGGTTCTGTTAGGAGGTTCTTTAGGAGGTTCTGTTAGGAGGTTCTTTAGGAGGTTCTGTTAGGAGGTTCTTTTTAAGCTGATCATAAGTTGTGTTTCCTCTCACCCCCAGTTAATGCACTCAGGCCCTGATTCCTGACTACGCTCATCTTCTCATTTTCATCTTTATTTATCTGCTTTTACTCCTGCTAGTGCAGCTCCCGCTTGGTTTTGTTTCATCCAGCTGATTTTGTCGAAATCGTCTCCAGTCTTCTCCCCAAATAAAGTCTCCAGTACATCTTCCCTTCCCTGTGTCACATATGTTCAGCAACTTTCCTGGAGTGAGTACTATGGTTTCTTTTCGGTTTTTCTTTCGATGTGAAATGAATGCACTGTAAGGCCATCTCCCAGTAAACAGTTCACATGCCAGCACCCACATCCTCAGAGTATGTGCAATTCTGTTTTATCTTTAAGCATTATGATCTGTTCCTGTGCTCTGGTTCTTTTCATAATATGCCATTATATCTCATTATTTGTCTTTCAAGTAAAATTTCAGGTTGGATTAGACTGAAAACCTGATGACTGGTTTTGCTTCTGTTCGACAGCATTCTTAAGATTCTTCATTAGCACTAAAGCTCAATGGTGTCAACTTTCATGTTTCATGTCCATCCTGCTTCTTTATCATCCAAGCATTGCAGGAATTCTGAAAAATTCTGAAAAACTCTGATCTTAGTTCTTAGGGATAAAACAGTATTTTAAAGAAATGTTTGCCCTTCATCATAGGTGATTAAAAATACTATGTTAATATTAATTTTCTTAACCAAGTCTTCCTCCAGGACTAATGTTGTAAAAATGGATTGATGTTGTATGAATTTTCTCAGTGTTTCAATGACTTCCACGGGAGGGCCACGGGTTTTATTCTCCTGTTGGAAAAGCCTTTAGTGCTCTTGCAACATGCTGAAATGAAAAGTTTAAAGTGAATTGGTACAAAACAATCTCACTATTGTCATAGCGACTTCTCCGTGCATGTGTGTGCCTGCAAAAGTCAACGTACAGATTATTCCAAGGGTGGTGCTGTGTTTTTAAAGCAGAAAGACCAGTTTTTATTGAATGCATCAGAGGTGGGAGTGAGTCAATAACTGATAATTAAACCTCAGGATACCTAAATTTGTTCATCACAGATATTTCTGTCTGGAGACAGTTCTACAGGGATTTTTTCAGTACAGTTATTGTTTTTTTTTTTACACTTTTATTCTCTATATACAATACAGATAATTGTCAGTTTCAAGTGCAGGGCTACCCAACTCCAGTCCTGGGGGGCCGGAGCCCTGTGTAGCTTAGTTCTTTCCCTGTTCCACCATAAATGGTTCAGCTCAAGAGCTGTGTGGTAATTAGCGCAAGGAGTTGAATCAGGTGTGTTAAATGAGGGGAAACCCAAAAATGTGCAGGGCTCTGGCCCCCCAGGACTGGAGATGGGCACCCCTGTTCTAGTGATTAATAGATAAAATGTACAGTACTATCTGTAACTTTGACAGAATGGCATCGTATCAAAACAAAAATATAGATTGTTAAAAGGCCAAAGGATAGTACTAAAGGGTATCAAATAGTTCATCTGTGGAATGTTGATCAGTTATTGCACAGTCACTCCCAAGCCAGATCTGAAACAATCTCCCTTTTCTTGTGATGTCCGGGGGGGGGCGACTTTTGGAGATGCTAGTTAGAGAACAAGGCTGACTGGCCATGTGACTACTGTCTGACAAGACTGGGATTCAGTGTGAAACACGGCAATGCTTTACTGCAAAACAAAACAAAGGCAAAACATGGGTCTTGGGTATCAGGCTGTAGCAGACACAGCTCACTGCACTATAATGAAGAGTTAAGGGATATATAGGAACAATCTCTACTTCTTCTGATTGGAAACATGATGTCTACTTGCAAGCAAACTAATACCCACTGCAACGCCAGCCATTGTTTTAATATTTAAAGAGTGTTGAGGGTCTGGTTCCTTTGTGAAAGAAACATCTTTCCTGTTCCTTGGAGAATCTCCATCATCAGAGCCACAGCTGTTTACATGCCACACAGGTAAAAAACAAAGATCCATTCTTACAATTTCCTGTGTGCTTTTTTCTTTGAATTGCATTGCCTTCTTTTTGAGAAGGTTTGATAACGGTTCCTGCTTTTTGTGAAATTCTAACTGATTGTAGGATCTGTTTAGGTCCAGGGACAATATACAGTGTTTAAATCTAAAGCAATTTCCATTTTATAAGAGACTAGAGGATGTTCTCCTGTATTCTCATATGTGAATAACATTTTGATATTTTATGTTTTTATTTTAATGTACATAACCCGGGAGTAGGGTACAGTTGTATTTTTATGTTAAAAACAGCAAGATTCTTACATTTTTATGTGATAAAATTGTTTTATGGATATTACATCTATAAACTGTTTTAATGAACTTTGTCTCATTTTTTAAGTTTGGTTTTGCTTTTAATATAGACAATGTCCCTGGGTAACATGATTCATTTATATGCAATATGTATATAAAATGATAAAATTTAATATATAAATACTAGGGGTGGGCCATTCATGAATGAATTCATCCATTCAAATTCAATCTGGAAATAGGATTGGAGTTTATGGTGCATTTGAGGGATTTCGGTAAAGCGGACAGTGTTAATTCCAAAGAACAACGTTGACCTGGTAAGGTAAGGAGCCATGTGTTTTTGGACTGGGGTATTGAGAATGAGCGGGAATGGCACTGGGCGAAGAAGCATTGCTGTGGGATGTGTGAATAAACCTTGACTGTTATCAGTGTATGTCTTTGACCTGCATCATCTTCTTGCCAAAGATAACTGTTTTGATTCACGGGGAACATGACAGAGTTGGAAGTGAAAAAAAAACTGTACAGGAAGCAGAATTGGTATTGAATTGGAGTTTCAGAAAGTTGAAATGAATTCAATGCCATTCTGTGCAATTACATTTTTGTAGGTGTCCTTATATAAAATATATAGTTCAAATTCTAAGTCTGGATATATATTTCCGTTTATGAATATAATAAAATATTCAAGGTACTTTTCAGATAGATGAATAGTTGTTTTGTAAAAATCTTCAAGGAATGACGTCGAACTAATGTACAAGCCGTACAAGTATAGAATTCAGACACCTGTAGAAATCCATTCCATGTTATGCTATAAATTTGAATATACTGTTTATACCAGGGACGACTGTGTAGTGCCTAGCTTGCTTCTGGAATACATGACGCCTGGGCGGGGGGGGAAGGGTGAGGCTGGAATCAGAACCTTGTTCAGTTGAAATTACCCTGCTGGGATTTGAAGCGTCAATCTTCTGATCACAATCTGATTTGAAGTGGCAATCTTCTGATCATGATCTTAATATATTTTCACCTTCATTGCATCAAATCATCTTTACCTCAATTTTCAAATTTCACATGGCTAAGACTACAGTATGTCAGTTGGGCCTATTTTCTTGCAACACCAGATGGTGTAACTTGGATACATCGTCAGTGATGATCCCAGGGTCATAGAGTGTTTTGGGTCTTGTATCATCAAACATCAGACATCATCAGTTGAGTCTCTATGAAATAACATCTCTCTGGCTCTGGTGACCTTAAAGTCCAGCCGGTGGAAGGAACCTGCAGCTTGCTGGTATGCCCATACAGGGCATTTCTACTTAAGGTTCTTTTGTAGAACCAACCACCTACAGTATGAAGGTGACATTCTGCTCAAAGCCCTCCTAAGTGATCAATGAAACATATATCAGCAGTTGCCAGAGAAGTCCTGGCATGATTCCATGCTGATAAATCCATGCTTTGAACTTCCCTCAACGTCCTGACTTGTCCACTGCTGATAGCCATGCTTTCCTCTCCATACATGTTGGCTGGACTGCCGCAGTGTCTCTCAGGGTGCAGTCAATGATCTTCCCCAAGCTACTCCCAGGATTCTCGATCACTGGTGGAATTTGACCTCCTCCCAAAGAAAAGCGCCACTTGTCAGACATTGTTCCCTTCCTCAGGACCAAGGGCCTGGATTTGGCTGGCTTGAAACTCATTCTTGCTCAGGCTCATGTAATCAGCCTTTCCAACCTTTGGATGAGTCGTTGGCATCCTGGCACTGATGTTGCTGTGACAGTCATGTCGTCGTCCATGAACACTCTGATTGGAGGTTGATGAGTGCCAGATCTAGACAGGGGGTCCCTACGTCCCTATGTTCATTGCCAAAGCCAACACGGACACTGATATGATACAACCAGTGAAGGCACATTTCTCTGGGTGATGCCAAACAGATGCTGTTGTCCTAGAAGGTAACCTCAAACTGAAACTCCTGTAATAATCCATTATGATGTCTTTGATCCTCTCTGGAACTTAGAATCTTGACAACGCTGCTAACCCAAGTTTATGTAGAATAGATCCATAGGCATTAGCAAGGTCAAGTGTGTGTGTGTGTGTGTGTGAGCAGGTATACCTTACCTTATGGGGACACATTGTCCCCACAACGTGATGAATACCCGTATGAATACCAGTATCCTGGTCCCCATAAGGGAAAACTCAATTTAATAAAAATCTGTGACTGCAATGAAAAAACTAAAAATGCAAAAACTCTTGTATTTTGCTTGGTTATTTATGGTTATGGTTAGGGCTCGGTAGGGGTTAAGGTTCTCATAGTTAGCATTAGCATTTTTCCCATAGAAATGAATGAGCGGTCCCCATAAAGATATGTTTACCCGACTGTGTGTGTGTGTGTGTGTGTGTGTGTGTGTGTTTAGCAAAATGTCAAGACAACCTCTTAGAAGTTGAATTTCGTGGAATTTAATTAAATTCAATTCTGCCACCTGTCAGTCCAATTCAATTCCAATTCTGTTTTCCCTGAGCAGGGAGATATTCTAAGGTCAATTTCAACTCCAGGAAGTGAATTGGAATTTATCATGCATTATTAATTCAATTAAAGTATGGCCCCAACCCTGGTAAAAACTGCAACTGAAGTTATAGTAGAAATAAATCATACATCCTTAGAATGTTGTTGTTATCATTGACCTATTCCTTTGCAAGCAGTCCCACACCACAACGCTTGAAAATGTACATGAAGTCTCCTGGAAGAGATAATGTCTCGCTGTCACTGACATTTCTGGGGAAGAAAATTCACAGCTGCATTGACCCAGCTGTAAAACCAAGTATGTCATAGTCTGTTAGGGAGTGCTTGAAATATTTGCTATAGGATTTTTCCAGATGCTGAAACAGCTTTGACATTAACTTTTCTCTACTCTGATAAACATGGGGGGCGGGGGTTTCTTGTACCTAACTTGTAAAATGTTCTGCTGGTTGTTTTTACCTATATATATATATGTAAATAATATTATCATTAATAATAATAATTATTATTATTACGATTATTATTATTATTAATAATAATAATAATAATAATAACAACATGTGACTGTTTTTGTTGAGCTGTTTATATGGCACTCAAAATAAAATTGCAATCCATATTAACTTAATGTGTCATTAGACATATATGTCCATTGTTGATGTAAAATGCATATAGAATTAATGTGCCATCGAATATATCAGTCCTACATTCTTGTACAATCTATAGTAAAAGCATATGTCCATAGTCATATATGTCCTTCATCCAGGTAAAATAAATATTAAATTAATGTTTAGTCAAACATATAAGTTGTGTACAATGCTTTTTTTCAGGGGTCGGTATTTGTTTTTATGCATAATTCATTAAATGAACTATGGTTTTTCCACACAACTACAATGAATATTTTGAAAAGGCAGCATCCTTTTCAGTTGATGCATTCACGTTGTGTTCTGAGAAAATACAGTGGTACCTCAGTTCTTGAACTCATTATAACTCAAATTTCTTAAAAGTCGAACCAACCAGTTCGAAAAAAAATTACCTAGAGCTCGATCTGAATCTCAGAAGTCAAAACGTGAACGCCGACCTAAGATAACTTGTACGCGCGGGGAAATGAGTCACGCGGTACGTCTCTCAGCTGAAACAAAGGGTAAGGATTCAGTCTCAGCCTCGCATTAGCCATGATAGCACCGTGCATGTTTACACTAGCTGAATACATATATATTTAGACAGTAAAAATACATTTAGACAATGATAGACAGTAACAAAAATTATTGTTAGATAATAAAATACATTTAAAATAAAGATTTCTTATTCATTATTTTAATATTAATAATAAACCATTAATACGTTTAATTACAATAATATTGTTGTGCCGAGTGGGACGTACGGAATGGAGACAAAGGCGCAGACGTCAGGGTATCGGGGAATACGGGGTTTAATTACAGGTAAGGCAGGCAAAACGCCGACTGACAATACAATGACCGTACTGGGGAAACAAACTGAAATGTGGACGAAATACAGAGGACTAATGACAACCAGAAACAGCTGATCACACTGGGATTCCACACGGGGTTAACGAGGGGGCGTGGCACACGGAAGGAGCGGATGATCGGGGCAGGACACATTGTTTGGATACATTTATTTTCTTACTTTACAAATTACTTTTTTGATAAATGTGCTTAGATGTGTTTAGTACAGTATATGCTCTTCTTGTTTTATCCGGTTCATTTTGTGTTTAAATGCTAAAAAAAAACATTTAGGGCCAGGAACCAATTAATTGGTTTTCCATTATTTCTTATGGGGAAAATTCGATCACAACTCGAACTTTTTAGGATTCGATCCAGAGTTCTGAACGGATTAAATTTGAGTTCTGAAGTACCACTGTAACATGAATTCTCTCGTGACTAATTTAACCAAACAAATGTGGAGAGATCATACATGCCTTTCATAAGAATAATGTAAAAGTTTTTAAGAAACAACAGATCAATAAACATGTGTTTCCTACTAAAGCCATATGTTATCACAGATTCACATATGGTAAAATTTAAAGTTCATGTGAAAGTTTTTATTTCTCCTACAGTATAAGCTTTAACTTTGAGTGCCTTACATGTTTAGTGTGTTTTTTGGTATGAATGTGTCAGGGATCCGGGCAGCTCGGGCACGGGAACGGGAACGGGGCATGGTGCACGAATAAGGGGCGGACGACCCACTTGCGGCTCCAGGAACAATAGAGAGGTTTATTAACAAAGACAACAAAACACAAGAAAACCAAAAAGACCGCGAGGGGTCAAAACTAAAACAGGGAGGAATTAACTAGACTAAATAACACACAAGGAAAACTAACTAGCACGACACTAAGGTAAACTACAATCAAGGGAAAAACCAGAGACAAGCCTAGACAAGGGCATAGACGACTTAGACAAACCATAAACGAGCGTAGACCTCAGAGACAATAGTTTAGACACGAGACACGAGGCGATGAACCAGCGGGGAACAGAACAAAGGCAGGAACTAATATACTACGGGGGTAATGACTAACACAGGGCAGGTGAGGCTGATTAACAAAGACAAGGGAAACAGGACACAGGTGAAACCAATTAACTCAAAGACACTAACAATCAGGGAAACTAAACACTAACCAAGGAAGCATATATCAACACACGGAAGGTACATAGGCAATAACATAAGCAGGGGAACAAGAAACAAAACCAAAACCAATTACAAAGCAAACACCAGGAATAATTAAGCATAAAGGAAAACACCAGGGAGCTAAATACAAAAACAGAGGAGGCGGGATTCGAACTCACAACAAGAGGGAATTCAGGACCGAGGGGCAAACAGACAGCACATGCTTAATACATTGAGCCACGAGACCAGACAAGTGACAGGGGAGAAACAAGGACTGACGTATGGACGGGATGACCAGCACCACCTGCTGGTCAAATGGGGAAGGACCACAGCGGGAGGCCGACCCTGACAGAATGTGGCCGTAATCATACATGAAAAGACACTGACTTGTAACAAACATACTGTATTAAAAATCATGCATTGTTATATTTAATTGAAATAAGAAAAATCCTTGATAGCCTTACATGACCCATGCCTATTTTTTCATATGGGTGTTTTGCGTTGAGTTAAATCCCACCAATAAGTTTGAATGATGCAGGGTCATTTCAGCTTTTTTTTGCTTTTCAGGTTAAACATAAATACATCATGGAATCCTCACCTATGTTGTTGCTCCGCAGGTACCTGGGAAACCACAGCTCTACCTTCTAATTTGGAAGCTTCCATGCCAGGCTCTGGGCCTGGTCATTCCCAGAATTTGATTTTTGGCCCTGAAGAACTTCCTGGCAGCGTGCCACACCTTAGGGAAGACGTGCCGCCAGAATCGCAATGCACTGTTCACAGCACACGCCTAGACAAAGACACTGAATCAGGTAATCTTGTGAGTGCTGCTTTGTTCAAATCAGTAATTATATTCCAAAAAAGGTGTGTCTCTACCCATGCAAGTTAAGTTTCCATTACTACAGTCTGTTGGTTAGTATTACTGAGTCATAGGAAAGGGCGTCGTTGGGGTTTAATAACCTTGAATCATTCACGCAAACTCTCTTGCTTTGCATGGTTCGCCTTTGTAACTTTTTCTAGTTCTGGAAACCAATACATCAGTTTTGAGTTCAAGTTTCGTACATATCAAATGATATCAGTGATGTAAAAACAGAATATTTAAAATCATATTTATAAAGAGTTGCTTTATATTAAAGCGATACAGCTGTCAAGTGTCACGGTTCAGGAAGGATGGAAGCAAAGATAGATGTCGGGGGAAAATGAAAGGGGTTTTATTCCAAAAAAAAACACAATACAAAAGGCAAAAGGAAACAGACCGCGAGGAGCAGGGGAGGGGGAACATGGGCGCAGGGTAACTGGCCCGTCTAATCACAGCTGTGTCTTAATTTTCTGTCCCTGAAAGTCACAAATAAGAGAGGAGACAAGTTGTACCCTTAACAGAGGCCAGAATAGACGGTTTTGATTCTGAGCAAAAGATGTGGACACAACTCGTACCACATTCATACAGGGATTGAATAGCATATATTAGCAGCTCCTGTGCTACACATCCCAGCAGTACCTCACACAGCATGTGCCAGGTCACATGGTCATCTGTCTTCCCCAAGTTCATGAAGTACTGTAGCCTGCTGCTATGAACTATCACACAGGGCAGGAGTGGGAGGGAGAAGAGCTGCTGTGCTGATTCATGGCCAGGCTGCAATCAGCATTGTTCCTCCTGAAACCTAGGTCTGACCGTCGTGCAGAGTCTCCCCTCCAGTACCTTGGCGTGAACTTTCCCTGGGAGTCTGAGAAGTGTGATCCCCAAAAACTGGAGCATACCATGTGGTGCCCCAATTCAAAAATAGGGACCATCACACCTGTTTGGCAGTCCAGAAATACTTTACCCGCTTTCTACAGAAATGAAAAATGTTAACCATGTCACCCCAACAACTTTTATTGCATTCAGCCCCTCTCAACTGATGTACCCCTGCCATCTGTCTACCACAGAGGCCTCTAACTATCATATTGACATTAGTGTTTGTAAGAATACTTTCACATGCAGGCAGCCTTTTGGACTGATGCTACTCTTATAACAAGTCAAGTATTTTTAGTGGACATTCAACCGTCATTGCACAATCGAGACACTTATGTGACAGGTTGTGGAAAAATTTGATTTTTTTTTTTTTATCAGAGTTCAAGTTTCACATTGCATTTCAATAGGATATAGAGGAAAGAGTTTATGATTAAGATGATTTTGTTTGCAGTAAAATATACCTCCCTTGCAATACAGAAAATTCAACATGAATTGCCCAACAAAGGCTCAATCCTGTGGTCAGTGTGGATGCCCATGGCCCACCTCAGTGATGGGACACTGTGCTGTAAAAATGGTGCCGTCCTTTAGATGAGACAGAAAACCAAGGCCCCAACTCTTTAAGGTTGTAAAAGATCCCTGCACATCTTTCAGAAGAGTAGGGGTGGTACCCCGATTCCCTGGCTAAAATTGCCCACTGTGGCCCTTTCAAATCTGGCCTCCTAATCACCCCTTATATCAAACTGGTGAATTCTCTCCTGCCTCTTCACCACCTTAGCTACTGTGTGGTGAGAGTACTGGTACAGAATGGCTGTTTGATTACTGATCCCCATAGGGAAATTCTCTTTATGCCTCCCCCAACTTGCTTTCTGTAGGTGAGAGCAAGGATGGCCGCGACCCATCTTCCAGGTGGGGGCTACACAGTGGTGGTGGCTGAAGTGGCTCCCCATTGGTTCTGTAAAGTGTGTTGGGTGTCTTTAAATGCACTATGTAAATGTAACATTCATTCATTCATTTTCTAATTAATTACATGATAAACGTGAATAGAGTTATTCACCCTTGCCATGGGTACAGAAGCTGATGTGCAAATGAGTTTTTCTTATTTGCATTTTTATTTCTGCTTTTCAAAACTGTCATGAAATACAAAGACTCATGGTTGAAGAAAAACAAGGTTGGATGGAATGTCTTTAAGCAATGGATGAGAGCGGACAGGAAGATTGGACTTCAAGGTAAATATTACTGATGTAAGCCTCAATTCACATGCTCAACTAAGAAGGCTGTGGTGGCCTAATGGTTAGGGAAGTGCACTTCTAATTGAAAGATTGCTGGTTTGAATCCCCAACGAGCAAGATACTGCTCCCAAGCACTGCTCACCGGGTGCTGAATTAGCTGCTCCCTGCTATGTCACATATGCATTAAATGCAGAGGACACATTTCATTGTTGTGTGCTGTGGTCTGTCAACACTGACCACCCAAATTCTAAAATATTACTTGTTTCAAATATTGTACTTATAAATAAAATTCTATGAAAAATACAACCAGTGGTGTCCAATTAGATCATTTGCATTGGTATATGAAATTGCAATGAGTTTTATTTGACAGATGCATGCTGTCTTATCAAGATAAGCAATCATCCACAGCTCTCTTGTAATTAGCTGCATGCTAAACAGTGCTTTTAGTAATATAAAGATCAACCATAATAATTACACACTCAAGGCACTATTGTTCAATGTTTAATACCTGACTAATTCAATATCTGTCCGATGAGTCTGCTCATTACATTTACTAAATATTTATTTCATGTAGAATTATTTGTTATATCTGTGCTATTAAATATAACATTTTATATGACCCTCCTCTATAAGTGGTTGTAAGGATAGGTATAGGCATAGAATTATTTAGTATAAAGAAAAAAATGATGAAATGCAGACATGTTCATACATACTGTATATTAGTTGCATCAGTTCTTATAAATGTGATGGGAGGGCAAACCAGGAAATCCCTGCCAGTAAATAAAATAATCACATTCAACACCCCACATCAGTGTTTGTGTTGAAGTAATGGGAGGGAGTGTCACATCAGCGTGGCATGGCAGACAGGAAAGGAAGGTGAGGATGGACTGGTGGATCACAAGACAGCTGGGGTTTATTAGGCAACTGAACACTGGGGAAGGCACAAAATAACGGACCAGGAGGGGTGAAGAGCAAATGGGGAGAAACAAGAACTAAATACAAGAAACTGTAGGATAACAGAAATTGGAACCAGAGCAATACAGGGAACAGAAGCAGCCAAAGGAACGGAGTACAAATCACACAGTAACTGACCATGCACATTCTGACACAAACTAAGACAATGACCAACTGGCAAATCGAACTAAGGCAAGAACTTAAATACAGAAATCAGACTGAGCTAACGAGGACACAGGAGAGAAGTATTAACTTAACAACCAATCAAAACAGAACACAATACAAGCAACAGGTGAAACAGAACTAGGGAGGTTAAACTAGAAAGCACTAATCAAACATTGGAAATACAAGACTGATAGAAAATACGAGAAGAACAAAAAACCGAATGCTAACGCAGGGAGGGTGGAGCACGGATGGGAGAACTATGAAAGAAAATAAACACTAAGAAAACCAAAACTACAAAGACTGGAGGACAAAAGGCAAACAAAATCCCAAACAGGCGACACTGGGATGTACTAGTCTGAAACCCAGGACCCCCAGGTTTACATGACTAGGAACTAAGACGGGGGGGTGTAATTTACAGCAGGGTCACAGAGGGCAGGATAAGAAGGTACAGACCCTGACAAGGGAGGAAAATGGAACAATTGCCCATAGTGCTTAAACTGCAAAAGCAAATTGGATTTTTCTTCCATCTGCTAAATAAGCTGCTTTTATATACTACTGTAGCATTTAATACAACTAAAATGTGCATGTTGTCTGTCAGTGGTTATAATGAGCATAATGGATTCTCCTACTAATTTGTAATTTGCATGTTTTTCTTAAAAATACATGCAGCACGTGATGTTATGAGAGCCGGAGAGAAACGCGAGGAAGAAGATGCTAGTTTAAAAATATTTATTCCCTATGATTCAGCCAAGTTGTGCGTCACTCAGGTATGATGGAGTCTTCATGTCGAATCGGTTATGACCAGATTGCAAGTGTGGTAGGTTAACATTTAAGGAGGGTTGTTTCTGGATTACAGTGCTAAAAAAATTGAATTATATATTTCATGAGAACTGACTATTTGGATCAGCACAAACACACCCAGCAACAATTAAGCAGAAAATTAACCTGAGAGCTGTACTTTTTCATATGAACCCATCACTATTAACTGCTGGAAGTATTACAGTAAATAACTCAGAAAAGGACAAGACCTAACACCACACATGCTACAATTGGAAGAGAAACACCCTTCTGTTCATAATGGGTCATACAAAGAAAGACTTATTACATCGTCACATGGCAGGAACCTAGAGATGCCTGTGTAGCTGGTCAGATAATATGTTTCTTATTAAGTCTCTCCAATCAAACCTCATACAAGCTTCCTATGAAAACAAATATGCAATTTGCTTAATATCAAACTCATACTCACAATTTTGTATTATTCATATTATGTAAAAAAGTAAAAGTTTAAACATCTGCCTGGAATTGTCCATATTGTTGTTTTTGTGCTACTGTCATTGTTATTTATTTAACAGATCATAGAAGACATGGAATTTATGAAAAGAAGACATTTGGAAATTGTCAACGAGCTTGAAGAGAGCTATATAAATGCAGCAAAAAACAATCAGGTGCTTACATATTAAAATAAATTCAATTGAAACCAGCCCAGAGATTAAGCATGTCTTGCATCATTTTAACCAATAAAATTGAAGAATTTGTATAAAATGAAAATCAGCTGCTGTTCAATCAGCTTTTGTGTATTTCATGAGAACTTCTTGGTCTTTATTTAGGAAAAAATAATCCAAAAGGTCAATGCTCATTATCAAAATAAGCTCATCTCCTTAAGGAGAATGTTGGATGTATACCAGGAGATGGCGGAGAAGAAAAACATTTACTGTGAAGAAAGAATAAAGGTAATTACAGACATGCTAGTGTAAGACATGTATTGTAACATATAGTTCTTTGTTTAAAAGTTCAAGGTGTAATGAAGAATGAACACAATGAATATCATCTCAAATCAAAAGGAAAATGTAAAACTTTCAACAACTGGCTAAAAATTAAACAGTGAAATCATTCATTTAAAAAAAATAGTCTAATTTGTAATTTCAGGACTATACACAAGTACGATATATTACATTTTTCTGTAGCCATGGCTGGAACAGTGTCTGTTTTTAATGCCTCATTCTCACACCTACTGTACTGTATAGGGTTATGAGATTGAAGCCTGTTCCTGGCTGTTTTTGGGGGGGAGTTTGCACGCAAAAAAAACTGTAATTTGTATCCATTTTCCATAATTGTTCCGGGTATATAGAAGCAGTGGGGGCGGGGCCTGTCCCAGGCAGTGCAGGGCTCAGATATGTACATGCACAATCACATACTTTAGAAACAATGTCCCTAATCACATGTCTTTGGACGGTGAGGGTAAAGTAAAACCCCCAAAGGCACAGGCAGGACAAACCCACAATTTTACAGGTATGAGGGTGCAGTTAATTTGGCCCTTCAACTAAAATTAATTAACGAAAAAGCAGCTTTAGTGAATTTTCCTCTGATCCATGGCCCAGACCTTAAAAAACCGCAACCAAAAACATCTGGAAGAGAAAACAGCTCTTCAAGAGAAGAACCAGGCAGATGCTGCCAAATGGGAAAGAGAAAAGGTTTTTATTGCTTTTCTTTTAAAACTCCATTCCATGTTTGCTTCAACACAACACACATGAAGATGCACATATTGAGTGCACTATAATGTTTGAGATTTGATATACTCCAAACTAACAACATACAGTAAATACGTGTTGAAAATGTAATATCACCTTTTTGTGTATTATTTTCTAGCAGCAGAAACACTTGTAAATGTACAATGGCACAGAAATTTGGAAATTCACTAATTAAGTCACAGTAGTACAGAAATTTACTTGTATATACTGTAACAGAAGGGCAGAGAAGTTTATCTGTACATCTCATAAACATGTTGAAAATTTATTAAAAAGTCCATAATTGCTGTATTGAATGCAAAACACTGAATGTGCTCTTTTTAGCTGGAAATGCTTGAGCTCTTTTCCACAAGGTTAGACCTGCTCCACAAGCACCAGGCATCCAGTAAGTTTGTATCTGCTGTTTTCTGTATTAGTGCATTAATGCAGGATGGAATCTCAGTACTCTATCCAAGGATACACTCACTGTGATTTTTATGAGTACTAAATACTCATAAAACCATTAGGAGAGTAAGAGAAGGAAAATATTTACTTTTTAGATAAATCATGTCCAGGTATATTTAGAATATATTGTTGTGTAAGATTTGCTTCACTATCGCAAGTACTTTTTAACCAAAAACAAATGTGTGACTTCATAGTGAGTTTGAAGAAACTGAAACTCACAATCCATCTGATCTTTTGCACGTAAATTAAAAATCCATGATGGGGAATATAGTTCCAAAATACTGAACCATTTGATGCTTTTCTCTGCTGTACCAGACAGTCATGTGAAACAGAGATCAGATTAATAGGATGATGGCGGAAATGTTTGACAACTTTTTGTCAAGAATCTTCTTAATCTATTTCACTTCTATCTCAGGTGCTACTATAAGACTTACAGTCCATAAGTGAGGACTTTCACTGGGTGTCGTATAAAGCTGTTTTGTCTTGCTTTAGCATTGCAGGAGCTTCAGATGGCCAGGCAGGAACTGGGGAGTATCCAGGTGATGCTGAAGCCCACATGTGCCAATGAGGAGATCAATGTGACCTCCGTGATGAGAACCGATTTATTACAGGTCTGATGGGGGTGGAAGGCTGAGCTTAACGATCACTGATCTACAGTGTACACATTACATAGTATGACTTACATACTGTATGTAAGCAATCATATTCTGCACAAAAAGATCTCCTTAATGTTTGTACCACAAACCAAGATGCTTCTTATAATTTCTGAGGCATGTGTACATGTTTTTCACATTTCTTGCAAACTTGATACATTTATTGAAGGTGTGCATTACCTGAGAAACATTAAAGATAACGTTTGAGCTCATTGCTTTACTCCGCTTTTCCAGCCAGAGACAGAAGATGGCGGAGAGAGTGAAAGTTGTGGTGGTAGCGGCGAGTTAACACTAGAGGGAGCACAAGCCCGTCTGGAAACTCTGAAGGAGAACCTGTACAAACGAGAGCGGGAGATCACTGAGCTCCTTCAAGGAGAAAGGGAAATGGAGAGGGAACAGACACTTATTACAGCAATACGAATCCCATGTACTGCCTTACTCAGAACAATTATACAAAAGGTGATGGTATTCCTCAACTGTACGATGATATACACTGATATAGCGGGGATCACTCTAATTCATAATTCCCCTATGCCCTGGAATTGTGCTGTATTACACCACTGAATATTTTGTAGCAATATTAAGTGGCACTCTATAATTACTGTTCAATCATGACATCTAATTCTGCTTTATTTAATCTTGTGCGAGAACTACAGTAGAGACCCTGATAATCGAAAAGCTCTGTATTTCAGTACTTCAATTTGCCTGTTTCTAATGTGCTTCTTTTGCGGCGAACAGAATTTGAAGTATTAAAGTGGAACCATTCTCATTTCTGCCTTCACTTTAACAACATCATAAAATAGTAATTGTAAAGTAATTCCAAATTCCAATGGATAATTTACTAAGTTTATTGAAACTGATATCTAGCTAAGCAGAATTCTAAAAACGTGTCCTTCCGCTAGAAATAGACATTGATCAAGGTAATAAATGGTAATAAATGCACTTAAATATCAATGGTAATAAAAAGAAAAAGAAGAGGAAGAAGAAGAAAAAGAAGATGAGGAAGAAAAAGAGGAAGATAAAGAAGAAGTAGATGAAGAAGAATAAGGCAGATATTTAGGCATTAGTGTGGCATTTCGGAACGCCAGCCTGAAGACTAATAATATAATCTTGGTGAAAGATGGATATAATACAATATATAGCGTAGGTAATGTTAAAGTGAAATGCTCTGCTTACTTCTGAAACAGGCCCATGATATCTACCAGAACGTGGCTGAAGCACAGCTTCTGGTTGACCATATGGCGGAAGACAATGGTCTGGAATTAGCACAAGCCAAGGAGGTGCCTGACCAAGAGCAGATGACTACAACAAATCACAGACACCAGGGAGAGGACGAACCAGAGTGGTTAGACTCTCTTCAGATTATTGATGTGATTGCAAAATATAATAAAAAAAAATAGCATGTGACTGTGTGCATGTGTTTGTAATTTCAGGGAAAGACTAACTGAGGAACAGCATAGAAGATGTACTTCGTTACAGAAAACTGAAGCCGTACACATTGCCTTGGAATGTATCAAGAAAGGTTTAATTCCTTCACTCTCAGGTGTTTATATATCCTGTACTGGGTATTTTGCACATCAAATAGATACAAAGTCATTTATGCAAAAAAAAAACATATTGACAGGGAATCTCGGCACACTCTCAGAAAAAAGGGTAAAAATTTGTACCTTTGCATGTCTCTGGGGCTGTACCCTTATATCTGTACCTTTTATGGTACAGAAATGGACTCTGAGGAACATCCCAAAGGTACAAACACCATTAATGTACCATCAATAGTACAGAAATGTTCCTCAGAGTCTAATTCTGTACCTTAAAAGGTACAATTACCTACAGCCAAGGGTACAATTGGCAGAGCCTTGAGGGTACAGCCCCAGTGACAAGCAAAGGTATACATTTTTACCCTTTTTTTCTGAGAGTGCATATACAGCTCTGGAAAAAAATAAGCAACCACTCTATATTTGTAAAAAATCTCCATTTTTAAATCCTGGTCTAATCCTGGTTCTGCTGGCAGAAAGCTAAACTGCAGGCTGCTTCCAGGCTCAAAGTTTGTAAGACAGCAGCACACAGGGGCGCCGTAAGGGGGAGGAAAGCTAGGACGATTCCAAGGGCCCCTGAGTGACAGGGGCCCTAAAAAATTAGGAAAATAACTGGATTGGTTTGGACTGGGGGGCCTAATATGATATGCTGTCATGGGGCCCAAAATCTCTAGCAACGCCCCTGGCAGTACACAAGAACAAGGTGAAGCAGGAGACACTGGGAATGACCAAAAACCAGCCAGGTAGAGGGCAGAAGTGACTCTAATGCCAGAGATGACCATTAACTTATCTGACAGTTCCGCATAAATTGGAGGATGACATCAAGTGACCTTCAGATGGAATGAGAAACATTAAGTGCAGGTGTGAAGTGCACTGCTAGGACAATTCATAACAGGCTCCTAGAAACAGGACTGAAGACCCATAAAACCAGGAAGAATTAAGTCCTTCATCAGTGAGAAGCAGGGATGAGCCAGGCTGGAGTTTGCAAAAAAAAAATATATATATATACTTTACATAGGTGTAAAGCCAGAAACTGAAAATGTTGCTGTGGTCAATTATTTTTTTCCAGAGCTGTATATATATATATATATATATATATATATATATATATATATTTGATGGTTACTGTACTTTCCCTATAATGAAATAGTCCTTTTATTCCATGTGACTCTGACTTCCAATGGCATTTTGTATCCCACCACCTGTGATGGTCACATTTCCTCTTTACCAAACAAATAATACTTTCATGTCCCTGGATGAATGATTTTATATTTTCTGTCCCTATAATAAGATGGTACTTGGAAGCTTGAACACAACTGCAGCGGGCCGGATGAAGAACATTGTCAGGTAAGTACAAGGAATCATTCAACATTTGAAATAATGATTTGACAATTATGGCAGGTGAAATGCGTACCTTGGCAAAACATGGAATGGACATGCTGAAAATTATATTATTGCTCACTAAAATTGTTGAATGCTTCGATTTATGGACAGTGACACATACAGTAATTATGTGTTAAATTCCAAGGCTGCTCTCCCTTTCACAAAATTTCTATAAAACTAGGTTCTTGAGAACAACAATTTCAGAATAAAAAGTTTGGGCCAGCAGCTGTTACAGCTACAAACTGAGGTGAGAAAAACAAATGCAATTGGTGTAATTTTTTTTTTTATTGGAATCTACACCTTCTGTTGGCAGCTTTTTTCTTTCTTCTATTGCAATATCTATGCACATTGTGGTATATCTATACTTACAGTTCAAACAAGCCAGAGAAGAGACTAAGCGGATAACTGAAAATTACAACTCCGAAAGAACAATGAGGAAAAAATATTTTAATATGGTGGAAGACATGAAAGGTTAGACATTTCAATGACACATTGATGAATGTGTGACTGCAAGGTTCAATGAAAATTCTGACGACTGAAATTTCAACATGCCCTGTGAATCTGGTCTGCCCTGGCTTCCCGTTCAGGGTATTCCCTGGTCTTGTTGCCTTGTACTGTGTGGATAGATGAGTGGATGTATGGATGAATGAATGGATGGAGTTCAACAGCCATATATCCATCTTCCATCACCACTTATCCAGTAATGGGTGGTGTGAAACTGCATTTGACATCGCATGTTTTGTTTGTATATTAACAAATATAACTGAAATTTTTGGATGGAAAAGATCAGTGATTGTGGGTATGTATGCAGGGAAAATCAGAGTGTTTTGTCGCATAAGGCCCATGAGCGAGGCTGAGACAAGCTGTGGAAGTATCCCTGTTGTCGACTGCCTGGACGATTACTCAGTCACAGTGGAAACTTCACGGGGCTTGAAGGAGTTCCAGTTCGATAGAGTTTTCAACCCCACAAGTTCACAGGAAGACGTCTTCCAGGACATAAGCAGGTGAGGTTCGCCTCCTTAGCTGGGCCAGATTCCAGCTGCTGGATTAGGCGAGTTCTGTGCCTGGCCGGTGGGCCTCCATAGCCTTCCTATCCCATTGAGACGCTGCACTTTCTTTGACTGCAGAGCTGTCTCCGCGGTGACAGCTGTGCAAATTGCTTTAAAAAAGCTTTGTAACATTTAGCGTGGACCTCTCTGTGGAAGTGTAAAGATTTTTTTTCTGCAGAAATGCACTTAAAGTACAGAATTGATACAATCATTTTGAAGTAAAGCTGCAGCTTAGGAAAAGCAGATAGTGACTGAATTCCATTGTTATAAATTAACACATCTGATTCTGAGAGTTCAGCTGAGTTATCTTTACAATTTACCATTACAATATTTCTGAATTGTATTTTTTATTCATTATGCTGTTTTTGATTGAATCCATTCTCAAAATATATACGCACATTCCTTTTGTTTCCTTAGGCTTATTCAGTCTGCGATAGATGGGTATAATGTCTGCATCTTTGCATATGGACAAACAGGCTCAGGAAAGACCTTCACCATGGTCGGCGACAAAGATCTGAAGAACCCAGGAATCATGCCGCGCACGTTTAGAACAATATTTCACATCACGCAGGAAAACAGTTCCAAGTTTGATTTCAAGGCAAGAAAAAATATTGTCTGAAGAATATCCAAGTTCAAAGGGTCTTTTCTTACATTGTAGAAATAAAGCATGTTAAAAAACTGAATTTTACCTGCTACGTATGAAAAGAGTAACACTGTAACTGTTCTACATTAGATATTTGCTAATGATGGCTCTATATACTGTAGTTTAAGGAATACTATTCTGCTTGGAACTGAAAGTACATTTTTTTTTGCACATGTAATTTCCTTTAATTAAGATCCACTATGCTTTCCCTATGTTTTTACAACTCTTTGCCCCCCGAACGTGTCGTGTCGCTCCTCAGGTCTCCATGTGTATGCTGGAACTGTACAACGAACGCCTGCTGGATCTCTTCGTCAGTCCTGTCGATGCACTCGGTAAAAGAATAGAAATTAAGAAGGACAGGAAGGGACTTGTGATCGCTCACGGAGCGGAGACAAAGGACGCAGCCAGCGCTGAGGAGCTTCTGGCACTGTTTGAACAGGGCTGTTGTAATCGACACATTGCGGCCACAAGTACGTGCATCAGGAAACTGCAAAAGGACCCTGCAACATGCTTTGGATTAATGGTTTTAAGGGACATTTCCTAAGTGCAGCACAATGAAAGAGCTCTGAGCTTGGCCAGTGGGCCTCCGTAGCCTTCATATCCTATTGTTGTAACTCATATTCAGAACTTCAACGTTACCAATTGTATAATTACTTAGCATACTGTATTTGTCTGTTTTCTTTCACCTTTAATCGGTTTTAGCTGGTCCTGTAGTCCGTGTCCTGTAGTCCGTGTCCTGTAGTCCGTGTCCTGTAGTCCGTGTCCTGTAGTCGTGATGCTTTATTTCCTCAGAAATGAACATGGAGAGTTCCCGCTCTCATCTAATCGTTGGAATCACCATGGAGAGCAGAAACCACACCAATGGCTGTGTAAGCTACGGGAAGCTGAGCCTGGTCGACCTGGCAGGAAGTGAACGGGTGGCGAAGACGGGAGCCAAGGATGAGCAGCTTAAGGTGAGAGCAGAATGCAGACGAACATGGCGCCTGGGTAAGTGTCAGCAGGCTTTCAGTCATCCAGGTCATGTGAAATCTAATAGAAATAAGGCAAAACAACTTGATTGCTATCAGGTATAGCGCCTGAATATGCATTAATGTAAATTTAACATTAAGGATATTCATAGCAAACACTGGACTCATCATTGCTACTGTTACATCTAGTGTTTAAACAACACTGTTATTTTTAAGAAGACATTCTACACATTAAAGTTGAAATATGTTGAGGTGTAAATAAATAGAAAATTCAACACAGATAACTGACCGAAACTGTAAGAAATAGTGAAGAATACCTATAGTAATCATTCAAATAACAAAGTTCTTCTTAATGCTTCAAATATCACTGCAAAATGTCTACATTTCAAACACAATAAAATGATATTTTTCCAGTGCACAGAGTATCAGTATCAGTTTTAATTACTATGCAAGTAGTGCTGTGCAAAAGTCTTAAGCAGTCAAAGAAAATGTTTAAAGCTATTTATCTGGGTAGTAAGTGCATAGTAACTAAACACAATTCAACATTAGAACATATGCAAATTAAGAGTACTACAAATATAAATGATAAGTGCAAATACTGGGGTGACTTTAGGAGAGGTTTTGAAATGGCTAAGCTGACACACTTTGACATACATAACATCATTTTTGCACCAACATGAAGATCATTTACACATTTTCTTTAAATGCACATGGGATATTGTCAGCTATTCTTTATATTGCATTAGTGTATGAATTTCAGCCGTATATGAATCTTTTGCAGGAGGCGAATTCCATCAATAAATCCCTGAGTGCTCTGGGTGATGTCATATTTGCTCTGTCTACAGAGCAAGTTTATGTCCCTTACCGAAACAACAAGTTAACCCAGTTCATGCAGGACTCTCTGGGGGGAAATGCCAAAACACTCATGTTCGTCAACATCTCCCCCGCCAGCTGCAATACTGAGGAGACTCTCACCTCGTTAAGGTAAGGTGTGCAGCCTGTCGTCTTATCATTACTCTGTGTACTGCTGTTGAGACTGCTGATGGGCAATTACCCATGGTATGTAAAGCTCTTGATTGCATACTGTGATTGCCCATGAATGCACAGTCTTAAGACATTATGTTGGCAGGGATTGTGACAAGTGAACAAGTTCCAAGATATAGCATTTGGGGGCACAGGAAAAAAAATCTGTTCCAAAGCAATGCAAATTACAGCAATGCCCAAGGCACCCAAAACAATACCTTAAAGGGACTTTATCAATGTTACTTGCTTATCTCCATTTTTGTTTTAATACACGTACATTGTGTTCTGATTACCCCCATTGTCATTTGTATTCTAGCTATGCAACACGAGTCAAAGCAATAACTAATACGGCTCAAAAAAATTCTGAGAGCAAAGAGATTGCTCATCTCAAAGAGGTATGTCACTCAAATACCTCATTGTTTTTACCTATTCAAATGTAATTATGCGTTTTTTAAATGGACAAATTTTTACCCCTAGATTTAAAAAGTTTAGTGCATACGTGAAGGGATTTACCTGGATCATATTAATAGACTCCATTTTCACAAGACCGACTAGGAAATATATTGTTTCATTTCCATATGCGATTATTGCATTTTCTTAGTTTTCCTCATCCCTCCTGTGAACTATTGTAAGATCATATTGCATCAGCAAATACGTGGAGAGCTATTAATCAGTCCAAACCCTTCCCATATTTCATTAGGAAATTAGACACCTTGATCTGTGCACACGCTGCAAATGTATTATTTATTTAACACACCTTGACAGGCCTTTTGCAATGAAAAACAGAACATATGTATAGCTGTATATGACAATAAATGCTGCTTTGAACGGGATAATTAGAAACCGTAACAGTCTTTCACTACTGTGGACATTAATGTGTATTTAAATTTAACTAAATTGATAGTGAATTAGCAAAGACACCAAATGGAAATAAAATACTGTTAAAATGTTGTACTTGTGAACATTCATGCTATAGTTGTGTCATAATGAGTTTTGTTTGTAACAACGTAAGATGATTCCCCTTTATGCTACTGCAAAAGGGAGAGTGGCTTCTTCATATTTCTTCCTATAGGTGGAGCCATAGAGAACGTGCCGAAGTGCATTAATGCAGCCTTTTTAAATATTTTATTGATACTAAGATATTGCACAAAGCGCCGTATTGAGGTTCATTTTTGCCTCTCCTTCTTAACAAGACATTACTTGCATTTCAGATCATTCTGAAGTTAAAATCGGGACAACCAGTGGATGACGATGTGTGATTATATATGTTCAGTGGCGGAAATACAAATATCGTACATGAAAAACACATGTAAGGTGCTTCTCCTGCTTTTTCTGTGAAATATTTAAATAAACAATAGCAAGTGTTTTTAGGTGGTTTTTTATAATGAAGTTGGAATCCAGGACAATCATTTTGCCCCCAAAAATGGTTTTTTAAAGACCGTAGGTGTCTTTTTGCAATGAGTTAAGTGGGAAAATGGAGGGGAGGGGGTGCGAGGTGAGGGTACAGTGTTAGCAGAGGCAGCCTGAGACCCAAGACAATTAGAGAGTCACCACCAGTTTGAGCTGCTATTGTGAGGGGACTCGTCATGAGAGATTACCTCACTTGGCAGGCACAGCCACAGCCATGCGGCAAATGAGATTGGTTCTGTTGTTAAGCAGAAGGATCCAGTTGCAGCAATTAGACAAGGATGACAGGGACAGAAAAATTCCACTTGACTTTGAGCACAATCCAAACCCCCAGCATCTCATAGCTCAAATTTCTTATTCATACAGAGCATGGATGATATCAACAAAAGGCCAATATATCAGTCATCTGAAAACAGATTAGGCCAGAAATGATAGCTTTGTGAACATACAAGCACTGGATCCTCAGCATGTCTGGTTCTGCAAACCAAGTACATCAAGTGAACAGCCTGATAATCAGAAATAAAGTTATAAAAATGCATATCAATAGACTGATAAAAAAAAAAAAACTTGACAACTACTCTTGGAACCACATATTACTAACTCTGATATTGTATCACAATTATCATTTAAGCAAAAGAAAAACAATTGTTAATTGAAAACTTCCTGCATAAACTGATTAAACATTATATGGTCAAATAGGTTCACAAATTCCGTACATTGAGGGTGAAATATGTCACGTTTCTCAGTGCTCAATATAACCTCCATGGTCATTTGTCCGACGCTGGAGATTATGCCTACAGATGTGGTGGTTGAACTTAAATATTGCAGCATCATTCCTGTTTTCTTGGGAACATACTATACACAAAGTCTGGGTTGCCTCACACTTCCAGGGAAGGGGGTTTGAATCCCACCTCTGCTGTATATGTGTGGTGTGTATGATCTCCCATGGGTTTCCCCGAAGTACTTGTGTTTCCTCCTGCATGCCTATTGCCCATCCAGGGGGTACCCCTGCCTATTGCCCATCCAGGGGGTACCCCTGCCTATTGCCCTGATTCTGCTTATCCCATGACCCTGACTGCTGGGTGGAAGACAGATGAATGGATAACTTTAACTTCTAAAGCATACTAGATTAAATTAAGGAACTGGACTGTTAACCAATATGTTGTAAGTTCAAATCCCAATAAGGGGTAATAATTTACTTGCACCACCAAGTAAAAAAACATTCCGCAATGCAGACCGCGAAACGGGCCATTTAAAAGCATGCCGACCGAATTAGAAAATTTGAGTGAATAAATAGTTTTTCCGTATACCACATTTTCTTCTGTCTTGGGCTGATTCCATTTGCGGGACAGTAGCCAGTAAAAGCAAGGCCCACAAAAAAGACAGGAAATTTCTCACAGCAAACTTCATCAGAAACCTTCATCTTTCCCACAGACACAACTACATACTGAGCTATGGATCGTTTGACTTACACAGGCTTTTAACTCCATACCTTAAATAATAAATTCTTATACTTTGCTAATGTTTTACTCTCTGGGTGTAAACTATGAAACTGTTAATGGGCTTAAATTGCCAGAGCTGTGCATCAGGCAGCACAATGAGTTGCAACATCGTCTCACGCTTTCAGAGTTCAAGGTTTAGGGTTGGTGCGGTTTGTATGTTATCCCTATAGTGTGCGGCTTCCTTATGGGGCTCCGGCTGCCTTCAGCAGTTCAAAGATAAGCAGTTAAATTATCCACAATGTGGGCATGCATATGCCCTGTGATGGACTGGCATCACATCCAGGGTGATCCCCTGCCTTGTGCCCTCTACTGCCCAAAATACGCCTTTATCCCTCACACAGCTGTGCAGAAAACTGTACTAATTATTAATATAAATAGGTAGAAATAGAACTTAAATGGGATTAACCGTTCATTTCATGCTCAACTGAAATGACAAATTGGATCCTATACACGCGTCTCTGCACCATGCAGTATTGCATGAGTACTTGTAAAGCATGGAATGACGGACGGATCACTGTGTGGATCGAGAGCTGAGAATGATTCATTGAAATAATTGACCTTGATTTGAAATTTGTAGTTAATTTGCGCAAGAAGCTAATTGTGGTGAATTAGATGGAACAAAAGCTATCATACACTGTGCTTCAGTGAAGCCATATTTGAAAACCACCATTCAATAGGCAAATTGAAGTGGGCAGAGAAGAGGAGACTCGAGTGAGTAATAAATACTGGATGAATTTTATAAAGAACTGAATGTAGAGGTAGCTGTCTTAAGGTGGAATTTACATTCTCAGAATAGCAGGGCTGCCAACTTCCTTCGGTCAGCTGACGTAAGATTTTCAATTTGAGACAAGTCTGCACACACATTTACATGTACTGTATGTAACAGTGTTATTACCTTCTAGTCTGTAGGGTTTGCAAACTACCCCTAACTTGCAAACTTAACACTTTTAATGTAGCTAATTTTAAGTTTATAATGGAATAATATCGTTTTGCAGTAAGATTTCTTGTGTGAGCATGAATCTGAAAGCATGAGTGTCATACCAGATACAGGCATAGTTGGCAGCCCTGGAAATGATACAGATAGTTCTGCTGAAAAACTTTAGAATATTTCATATACATTAAATGTATGATTCATCGACATCTCATATACTGTGATTAGTCGCGCAGCTTTGGGGCATTGAAGTACTTTTCCGTTTTACGGTAATGATTTTCTATATGGTTGTTCGAGGTGTTCTGTGCACTCTCCACCTTCCACTTGCGTAACCAATGACTTCACACTGCTGGGTTTGCGCAGAAACAATGTAACGCCATGAGAGAAAGATTCCTTCCCATCTCCCTTCCTGATGAACTCATTTAGATAATAGTCTAATGTAATGAACCGTCTTCACGGTATTTAGCTTTGGTCTTATCTCCTTAAAAAGAAATTTCTCTTTAATTATTAATTTATTTGCGAGTCTGCTGCATTTCTCCTCAGGTCTTTTTGAGTATCTGTTCCGTGGAACTTGTGAAATGACTTGTAAATACAAAGACTCTAATTGTAATGCCTGGGGAATGAGAAAATAAGATGTATCTGTCAGAGCAAGGCATTGGCTGAGCAGCCTGAGATAAGGCAAATTATTGGCTTTAGACATGCTTGAAGAAATTCTTGAATTCTGGCAATAAGAACAAGGGGGTAAGCCTGGATATAGGAACTTTATGCTGAACTTGGCAAGGATACATGATGTTCTGAAGTTTGATAACTTATCTAGGAAACACCCTTAATGCTTCAATGCAGTTATGCACATTAGAATTAAGATTTAGCATGTCTATATTGCTGAAACTGCAAAAAGTTCAGCTGAAACTTCAACTGAAGTCAAAAAGTACATACATAGTAGATATTATTCCTGTTTTTCCTATGCTGCAAATTTGTAGCCCATAGACATTGCTAGGGCATCTATTCATTCATCTTCTATAAGTGCTTAAGCAGTATAGCCTTGTAATGTACTACAGGGAAGAAGGCAGGGAACTCCCTGGGGGGGATACCAATCCAGCACAGGGTATTCACACACACACACACACATGCACAATCACACACAATCACAAACTACAAGCAACTGACAGACAGCAATTCAGTTTCAGTCCATCACAGGGCAAACATACGATATAGAGTAATATATGATAATAAGAATCATACATTAAAATAATTAATCAAACAAGGATATTTTATTATTTAATTGTCCTTCAACACTAAACTTGAAGATCACATAAATTCAGTACACGTATTTACGTTTTACGTATCAAGTTTATGCCCTTTGACCATTTTATCATCTTAATGCTAATAATAATACGTGATAAAAAACAATGATGTAATGCTGTTTATAATAATAATAACAATAATAAACATATCCATTTTCGATATACACTAGCCATATCAAGGGCTGCAGGGGACCAGAGCTTGTCCCAGAATCTACAGGAGCAAGATAACCCAGGGTGGGGGGCACCACCCCAATGCAGGGGGACATGTAGCATTTACACATAATAATAATGATGATGATAATAATAATTAATAAGGGGTTCATATTTATTGATATAGGAAAAATAAGCAAGAAGTGGAATATGTGATATGTAAGTAAAAATATTAATGCCGTGCTGAGATACAAATTTTGCAAGGTTTTGGTAATTAGCAGAGACCAGGAAAACAGGCCACAGGTGAAACTAATAAAGTCAAAGGAACAAAACAGGGAACCTAAGAACTAACCAAGGAAACAGGGAAATAGAAACCAACACTAAGGAATTACAAACAGGTAAAGACACAAGCAGGGGCACAAGGAACAAAACAAAAACCAACTACAAAATCAGACACAAGAACTAGAGAAACTCAAATGAAACACTAGGGATCAAAATACAAAAACAGAGGAGGTGGGATTCTAACACAGGACAGAAGGGTTCACAGAGAACTGCATGCTGAATGTGTTGAGCTATGAGGCTAACAGAGAACAGGGGAAACACAAAGACCAACATGATGGACGGGATGACCAGCAACACCTGCTGGCCAAACGGGGAAGGGACACGGTAGGACCACAGGGGCTGACAATGACACCAATGTTATCTGCAAAATCCCAAAAAACAAAGTCAGCGAAAGCAACACAAATGCAGCAGCTTTTTCGTTAAAGATAATTTTCATGAAATTATATCCTTTTCCTATATTTTCTTAGGTATGCAGCTAGGTAGTAATATTTACTATAACATGTTATGTTGCTACGTAGTAATATTCACATACAGTTAGATACTTTTACAAGAAATAAAACCAATATAGAAAGAAAATAATATCAATTAGCATGATATGTGAATATTTCTGTTTTATTCCTAATATAAGTGGAAACGTGAAATTTTGTGCAAATGTGATATGACTGATAATATCAGAAAATGCAGTACCTATTTCCTTATATATCTTTGACTGTATATCTGGAAACTTAATAAGGTACAATAGGCTCCACTGCAAACCAGCTATAATGGTATCAAAACCTGAAGAGACAGAAACACATTAATAATGACTAGAATATCACTATCAGTATGATTAACAAAGACAAGATGACTAAATGCATTAACATACCAACGTATAACTTGTAGACTATTGGTGAAAATTCACCAAACTCATATGCTTACATCTATATGAGATAATAACATTGATAATAATATGAAACATTCAAAAAACATTTGAAAAAAACAACAACAATTTAAATGTGGTATAACAAAAACTATAACCTGGAATTCTGTGTGCAGTCACACGTTTGTCCAGCCTACTCACACTATAAAAAATAATTTCATCTGATATCATGTGACCTAGCAAATTCTGCTTCACTGAAACTGCAGTGCAGATCTAAATTATATGCTGATCCCAAAAAATGCCCTCCTGTGTAGTATTTCACTGAATTTGACATTTTTCCCCAACCAAAAAAATGCTAAATAGATAAATGTTATGTATGAGTTTTATGCAGAAACAACACAGCATATGTAAATAATAATATGACTGGGTTTTTATATATTGCGTGTGACAAACCAGTCACAAAATAAAAGGAGCTTTATAAACATAACAGTATGCATTTAGTGAAAGCAAACGCTGTAGCAAAGAAGTCTGAGAAGAATTACAAATGTTAAACATGCATGTAAAAAATGTCACCTTATTTCTCATCCAACTCTCAACGCTGATACAATCCCAGGGAAAACATCTGGATTATAAAATGCTGTTTTGAGCAAATGAGGAACAAATGCAGTACTTGCAAGTTTCTAAATGCCAGAATAATGAGCAAAGAAAAAGTTGTTTAAAGATTATACATACACTATGCAAGTTTATACACTATCAGAGCATACACCAGTAATAAAACCAAATACAAGGTGAATAATTGCAATACTCATTAATTTAACTATTATTTTTAATGGGATCCATGAGGGTGCCATACATTGATATATGTTTTATTTCTATGTGAAAGGCATATTTATCCATTCATATTTAGTAGAAAATTTAGAAGACGCATTTTGTTCTCGTAATAACAATGACGGTGTGGACTATCTGTGTGTTGGAGAGTGTAAATTTCTTCCCATCTTCTCTGTCTTCACACAGGGCAATGAGAGGATCAGTGATATCTCGGATGCAATTCTGCGAGCACAACTGTTTTGTTTATTTTTTATTTACTTCTCAACATTATAAATTTGCTTGCCATAATATAAACTCTTTCCTGTGCATACTTCATAAATATATATTTCTACATTGATGTAAACTATTTGAATACTAGCAAAAAATGTTAATGGATTAAAGATCTATTATTAAGTTTTTTCTTTATACAAACTTATACCAGTCATCAAAAGTTTCATCCAGAGTGAAATTCTGCATCCACAGCGATAATAAATCTTCCTTTTACTATATAAGCAAACTGTTACAGTGTACAGTGAGTCCAGTCACTGCAAAGGAATGTTCCCTGTCCATTTAATAAATGAATGCATAGAATTAATTGACTTGTTTGGACATTAGTCTACCTTATCATATGTCCTCAGATGATCCTTAAAGTTCTGCTCCATGAAGCCATTAATTTTACGGATGTGATGTACCATTTTCTTCAAAGATGGGCTTGGAAAATAACGAAAAATGGGGAAAAAGTCTGCCAGGTTTCCAGCTGCAAAAATCCTCAGGACTTCATTGTTTATTTGAACAATGTTGAGGAATTCTTCATCATTGTAGCTGTACCTTTTGCCAAAGGACAAGGCACAGACTACATTAGCAACAGAAGTAATCAAGGCAATGGTGGCATCGAAGCCGCTTTCACAATTTGAATGCTCCTTGAGTCTGTCCACCGTCTCAGAAGCTTCACAACAGACGTGCTCCTCCAGGAGGCAGGAGAAAGTGGAACTCTTTGCCTCGGCCTGGGAGACGTTACGCAGAGCATTCTTGCAGATCTTCTTATGGAGGATCCAAGCTTCGCCGTGTACTTTTCACTGAATGTCATGCTGGTCCCATTGGCCACAGCCGAAAATGAAAAGAGCTCAGGTCTCCCTGCGAAGCTCTCTCCTTGACGTACTGTACCAAGGCCTGCCTTAGGGTTTCATAAGCACTCAGCACCACCACAACAATTGAGCCCATTCTCATTTGGAAGACATCGCCATACTTGTCCCTCATGTTGGTCATAGAGATGTGTATTTGATCGCCAACATGCAGCAGGTTGCCGATGAATGGCCAGGACATAGGCCTGGGAGGCCTCCTCAGATGCCTGTCCTTCTGTGTTCTGTTTCCCAGGGCAAGTATTATAGTTAGAGCAAATAGGCTCATTGTCAGCAGGCTCAATATTCAGCGGGAAATGGCCAAAATGAGTCTTGAGATAAAAACATCTTGGTGGTTATTTTTAGTCCAGAAAACCTGTCAGAATTTAAAAAATAAATGCATATGATAAATATTAATAATACAGCCCCCATAAGCAGGATAAGCAGCTGGCAGATGGATGTATGGATGAATGGATGGATGGAAGATTATTGATAATGTTATAAAATGTGATGTCTTTCAAGAAACTTTTAAACAATTATGCTAATTGTTCATACTACATCTGACAAGATAATCCGTTTAATAAAAATAATTTAAGAAAAATCAATAGACCATATTAATTTCATGTAGCTTTTTATAAAGCTTAACGGATCTGCATTTTTAGGTCTGTTAATACAACTATTAGCACGTCACAGTTATTATTTCAGTGAACTGAAACAGTACTATAGTTGAGTTCAAAAACCAAGTTTTAAAACCTGTTGAAAATGCCGGAATTTCTACAAGTGTCATCTACTATATATAGACAGGATTTGACTGGTCTTGTATTATATGCATTCCAATCTTCGCTGGTCAAGCTTTCTGCATAATTTTGTTAGTTATATAAAGCAGTAGCCTACGTCAGCATGCATAAATATATGTCTCTAAAAAGTTGCGTTATGTGTATGTACATGTATGTATTTATCGCAGACGTATGCTTGGATACATATCAAAACATTTCATACATTGACTTGCAAACAGTGTCTTCAAGAAGCGATAAACCACGAAATTCTGATTATTAAATTGGTTATTATTTGTTCTATCGGTATTATTTACAAAGAAGGTTAGTACACTCACCTAAAGTTACTTCGAAGTCCGCTTATGAAAACTATGAAGGAGACGGGAAAAGCGAAGGGATTTTGGATCATAAGCAGGAGGGTAATATGAGCGCAGCTGTCCGAGTCAGACTGGACGGGAGGGGAAAACCCCTAAGCGCTCGAGGGTATGTGTATATACTTTTTCGTTTGTTTATGTATTTATTTTTTTGTTTGTTTGTTTCTTTGCACGTTAGTATATCTGAAATTTCTGCGACTTAGTTTTTGTTCTGAAGCGGGCGGCAGCTTGCAGACATCCTGCACGTTCCTGGGTGGCCGGTTTACAGCAGGAAGGAAACGTTTCCAACTGGCAATTACTGTCTAGGGCCTCACGTTCCCTGGTGGTCGCTTATAGCTTTATATGGAGTTTATGTCATGATTCGAAATGCTGGTGAAGAGGTAAGGAAGTGTTTAATAATAGCTTTTTGTATTATAGATATATGAGTGCCCAGAGCCGGCCATTCCTGAACAATTGTAAATCCATTCCAAATGATTGGGAGATAAAAAGCATTGTGCCTAGAGCTGTCCGAAATTGTAGTTGACCATACACTAGGCAGGCATCTCCTCAGACGGCCGCATTTCAGTTTAGCGTGATGGTGAATAGAAAGAGCTTAGTTCGCTCTGTCGTGCCCGTTTTTGTTCCCCACTGATCCGGCTTCGCTTTGAAGTGCGGTTGAACAGAGTCTTTTTACACACACTGCAGTCCCTCCTGGCAGATTCTAATCCACACCGCCAACCCGAAGATATAGATATTTCTTTAAATGAGCTATATACTGACCAAACTCCAAGCACATTTGCTTTGCTCAGAAGCCATCGCTTCCAGAAAAGAAGTAATTAATGTTTTAAGTGAAATTCTAAAGCTTTCATCTAGAGATCTGCTAAACTAATATCAAAATAGCAAAACTCTTGTGTAATGTCATTGTTTCATTACTCTTTGAGCCACTACTCTTGCCGCAGTATTACTTCAAGGCAATCAGTAAAAGTCCAGCACAGGTTCATCTGTGAGATCTGATGTCAGGTCTGACCAGCAATTTAGTCCTGGCAAAAACTTCTAAGAATACTATGGACTGCAAGGAAAACAAATGACTAGATTTCTGGATCAAATCAAGCCTGAACTTTCAGCTGAAGCGCAAATGACCCAACTAAAGCAATCTTATTTTAGTCATATTACGAGAAGATTCAGTGTGTAGGAAATGACAATAATGGTTGCAAAAGAAGGAGAGACTTTCTGGAAGAATGCTCTTTATATGGGTGCCAGGAGTGAACATCCAATTGATGCGGGGGTGGAAGATATCCCAGACAAGATAAGGCACATGGAAATGTACACCCCCTTCAGCCTGACAGTCCATCGAACACACAGAGCACACAAGCAGAACAGACTGTACACAGCGAGAAAAGGTGAGATTCAGACCCCCAAATGTGGAGGCGTGAGGCACATAATAATAATAATAATAATAATAATAATAATATTGTAAAGAGATTCCTGGTCACTTGTATAGGATTTAAAATGGTGCTGAATACAAACTGATTATGTGTATGCCAGAATGGGCATACAGCTGGCTTCATTCAATGCCGGCAAAGCTGACATTGTTCAATCCTGCAGACATATTCATCAGAAGAGACCCCAACATAAATGAAGACATTGATCCTGCAAATACAAAACTGGAGGGAAAAAATAATCATTTTAGGCAGAGAGGAACGGCAATTTGTGGCAAAACTTTACTTAAGGCCATGTTTTTAGTAATTTATAAACACATTTACAGCAAATAGTAATGCATTCATAAAGCATTATAAACATGGCTATAAATATATTAAAATATAAATATAAAAAGCCATGTTTATTATGCATTATACCTGCCTTATGAACTCTCATCTATAATGTCCTATAGATATCTTTATAATGCATTATAATGGTCAGTATAAGCATTACGGATGCTCGGTACTGAATTATAAAGGTGTCTATAGTACATTATATATGAGAGTTTCATAGCAGTCATAATGCATAATAAACATGGCTATAATGTGTTATGCCTTTTGATGAATATTTATAGCCATGTTTATAATGCTTTATGAATTAGTTTTTGAATCCTTAATCATATGATTTCCTGGGAGGGGTAGTTGCTTACTTATATAACGTGGTGTAACGGATCTGTAACACACAAGTGTGTCACACTCAGTAGTGAGTGAGTAGTTCCACCCATGAGTATCAGGAATTGTAACTTTGAGTGCAATATAAAATTGCTATTCTTTTAGGTTAACCTTCCGTTTCTTGCATTAATTTGGTCTTCAGCTCCACAATATACTCACAACCAGCTGATTGCTTTTCTTTTCCTTTCTTTACGCTTTGTTTCCTTCATCCCCCCTCATTCTTTCGCTCTCTCTCTCATTCCTTCCAGAGGAACGTCGGGTCCATTCAGGCTCAATCAGGCATCACCATCTGCTGTCAGGACATGACACCTCCTTTGACCTACCGGGGCCCGTTTTCCTCAGTGACACACACACATGCACACAGACTGCTCCCGCATGTCATTAGCACTGCCAGGAGTCTCCGAGCATCACGGGGCGGCCATGTCGAGTCGGCAGAGACTCCAAAAAAACTGGCTCCTGATGAGGATCTTCTCTGTCTCACACGCAAATGAGCCAGTGCAGAGAATGTTAATCGATATACCACTATACAACTGCCATTTTGGATTTGGTCAACGTCAGCCACCGTTAATGAGTTCATAGTTGAGGTTTGGGTCTCCAGACAAGTAGTCCTTTTACCTTTTAAATGTCGCAGTGTGTTTTTATGAGTTAAATAGTAGCTAAGTAACACTTACCATGGCTGTGTTTATATATATATATATACATGCATATATATATATATATATATGTATACATTTATTTATTTATTTTTTATGCAATTAATTTAAATTTTAATTTAGAATACTACGACAGCCTATTTTTTTCTTTAAAAACAGAACAAATTCATTTATAACAGTACCTGCCCTTTTAAAGACCAAGATCAGCATTGCATTAAGAAATACATGAAGCTTGCATTCCCACAGCACCAAGAAAGTTAATGCTTCATTCCTCGGCAAAGAGAGATTCCACGTTACACATGCACGCAGAAAATAGCCAACGGGTATGACTTCCTTTTGTTTCAGATCATAGAATTCCGCAACATCACTCAGTGGTCAGTTTTATTATTTTAACTAGGGTTAATCAGAAAGGTTATGTTGTCCCAGCCCACAGATAATTCTCAAAGGATTTTCGCAGTGTTTTGGGTAAGTGCAGCCCAAAAATAGGAAGGCACCAGACGCAGCCATGTGATCTCATTGTTTCAAGGAGACGGTGAACCAGTGGGGGGGGGGGTTCTTATCAGAGCAAACATCTTCCCAATTATTAAGTTTTACTGTATTTAAACTGGCATGTAAAATTCTGATGTGGTGTAAAAACCTTTCCTTTAATTTTTTTTTTAAATCCCTTTTGGAAAAAATAAGTGGATTGGATCAGCATGGAGGTGATGAAGAAAGGGATGTGGCCGTCACGTCAAAATGACAATACGCATTACATGGTCAGGAAAGTGAACGGCAGCAGAAGTAGCTCGCGGGTAGTTTACAATACGCTCCATTTTAAAGTGAATCATGTGAATTGGTTCCAATTCAATGCTGATTAAAGTGTTTGCTTGAAGCATCGACCCCCAATGAGATGAGCACGACTCCCTGAATTCTGTTTGGGTGCAGTATAGAGTGGACTCTTAACCCAAGAGCATATATATAGAGAGAGTGAATTTGCACGACTGAGTTTTAAGAGCTCTCCGCAGGCTCCACTGGATGATGTCAGTGGTTGATGTTGACGAGCAGGCTGTTGGGGAGTCTCTTTCTCTGTGCAAAGGTAAGGTTGATTTCCGTGATTTCTCATATGTCATCACTAAGATAAGTCTATCTCTAAATATCCCCTGTTATCAAAATTGTTTCATATTCATTTTTGCCCGGAATCAGTGTAATTCTTTATTATTTGGAAATCTATATTTACTACAGGAGAAAAGTATTTAAATATGTATCGTTTTATTTTTTATAATGATAACATGTTTTCAGATCTGTTGTATATTCATAATTGTTAGTGCAGCCATGGCATCTGTTAATATAAGCCAAGAAAAAGAAACAATTGTATTGCAAACAAATATTCTAAAAACAATAAGTCTATAATTTATATATTATTGAAGTGGCTGAGAGACAACAGAGAAAGCTAATACACATAATTTCTGTATCAATTTCACAATAATCCTTATTTAAGTTTTATTGTTTAGTGATTATTAATTTAGAATAATATCCATCCATCCATCCATTCTCCAAATCGTTTATCCTTCTGGGTCGCAGAGGGTCCGGAGCCTATTAAAATTATATTTTTTTCATTTGCTAATATGCAACACATTTGCACAAAATAATCTATTATAATAATCTACTATGTAACTTTAAACCCTGGTGATAATGAGTATAATACATATTGTAGGTACTCACGCTTTAAGTATTCTTAAAATGTATTCATTTAACAAATGCTATACTTTTTTAAAATCATGTTTTATTTCAATACGTCTCTGTTTAATGGCCATTTCCCTATGCATGCATCTCTATGTATGCATAAACTGTCTTAATTTTTGGAGGGAAAATTATGTCAGATTAAAAGAGGAACAAACACAATCAGTAAAGCAAAAGACAGATCACTCTTTCAGGTTATTTAGTGAAGTATTATTTTAAAAAAATCAATAAATGTTGATTTTTTTTTTTTAACAGACAGTCGTATGTGTATAGAAAGTACATCGTAAACTTGGAAACCTTTTGTGTATCTACATACTTAAGGCCAGGCATACAATTCAAATAAAAATTTAAAAATAAAAATAATGTAACGCTAATTTAGCTGTGATATGTTTCAGCTCCTCATTATTTTATTAAACTAATTATTTAAACAGTAACTCAATTTGCATGTTAATTAAAACGCAAAAACTAAGAATTTAAACATGGTTCAGAATTATCCTGCATGATGTTCTTTTTTTACAATTAAACATAATATGTAGTATTTAAATATCAATAAATAATTTTATTAAATAATTCCCTTTCATCATTGTGCACTGAGTGTATGTCATCTTTCAGTCACAGTAGATAAACCACCTGAACTTCAACTCGTTCTCAGATTCAGGTCAGGTGACAAAACCATAGCCAATCCATAACTTTGAACTGAATCCTGTTAAGCAATAGGCTACCAGCTTTGTCATCAAACTGTTAACCAAACACGCATGACCCAACATTTTTAGGCCCAGTTTTATATCATACAATGGAAATGTTCAAATAGTAACTAATTTGTACAAAATACAAAATATTCAATTATGATTATACATATTTAATGTGCTTTTAGCTATTTTCTTACTAATGTTGAAATATTTCATTCTGTAGCACCCTTTTCAATTCTGAGTATTGAATAACAAATCACCATAAATCTTAAGTCTCTAGGTTTAGTATTGCCCATTATTTTCAGTAAAAATAATTATCGTAAGGTTAATATTATGTAGCAGCTATTGTGTGTTTCATCCACAGCAAAAGGACAACTTCTTGTAATATTCTACTACTTTTATGAGCAGGTACAACCACAAATTTCCTCTTGTAAGTATAAGTTCTGATAGAGAAGTACAAAGTTCTGTATGCAGTGTTATTTCCATCCAATCATGTTCAACTATGCAAATTAACCATTCCTGTTTGCCCACCTATCCTCCAATGACTGTCCCCATGCATGCTGCGGGTTAACAGATCTAGTCCAGCACATTGAGCTGCACCTGTATGTTTCAGAAAACCAGCAACACACCATGAGCAAGGAATCCAGTGATGGCCGGTACAATGGCAACAAGCGCGCGCCTGCTTCTGTGGACACAGGACTGCCTGTACCAGTCAGTGACCTTAAGATTGAGTACACCAAGGTCAGTGGCAGCGGGCACTTTAATTATTAGCCATTATTAGGGTGTGGAATGTGATTATGAGTTGGTTTATTTTTGCGAGCGCAGTTTGAAACTTGTTTTTAAGCATTTAAAGTTATGCAGTATTACTTATGCAAAAACTTGTTCTTTTCAACAATTCTGTTACATTTCTAACAGTACTTAGAGCATTAGCTGCTTTTCAAACTATTCAAAAGATTTTCAGAAGTCGGCTGAAGTCTGGCAGTAGAAGATAATCATTAATTCCTTTATGGCATAATAGAAACCAAAGGCTGTTTCCAACATGTAATCAGTGTTTGTCATAGCTACTCATAGCAACATGGCAGACAGTTAAAAAGATTTAAATATGTAGTGGATATATATCTGTGTGTGTGTGTGTGTGTGTGTGTGTGTGTGTGTTTATATCTGTTTTCACTGATTTAAATTGAAAGGTTTTTACACTCAGACATAACCTGAACTTCCATGCAAACATGAAAGATATTGCAACAATTAAATACTATCTACATTTAGCCATGCAGTTTGTTTTATGTTTAAGAAAATTTTATAATGTCTTTTTTATTTGATTGCATTCATTTTCAGCATAAATTAAAATGGAAATCCAACAATTAATTTCAACTCCTTGTTACAGTTATTTATCATGAATTACTATATTTATGTGTTAGAAATATTTTTTTCTCGTATGAACTTTCTGCTTTGGAATTTATGTAGATTTCTTTTGTTTAAGGTTCAGATTTCAGCGGTTAATATGAACTAAATGTTAGTATCCTTATTGTGTGAATTTGTCCTGTTTTTGCCCTTGCAGATATTTATCAACAATGACTGGCACAATTCCAGTTGCGGAAGGAGAATCCCAGTGTACAACCCAGCCACCGGGGAGTTGATCTGTGAGGTCGAGGAGGGAGACAAAGTGAGTGAGTCAAACAGCCACTTACCCGTCACCCAGAGAGTTTGTCTGGCTACGCCAAAGTCCATCAGTGAACCACCTCACCAAACTCAGTGGAAAATAATTAAAATTGCATCCACATCTATTAAGTAATTGCATGTACAACCATAACTTGTCAAGAACCAAATCCCATAGGCTGTAATTCCAGCTATGCCACGGACAGAAGAGTGATGAAATACAGGCAAGAATAATCAGAGCCTCACAAAATTTTATCTTAATATTCAATAATGTTCAGTGTTTTATTTTCTCTATGTCCAGTGATTGGAATTTGGTTGCAATAGAAAACTACAAGTGTATACCATAGTGTGTTTGCATAGAAATCTTCCTTTTTCGTTTTCATTATATTCCCTAAACTTATTCAGTGCATTTGCAGACACAGGAACATAAAAAAGGAGCTGATCATCATCAATACCCTGCAAATATGATCAGTGTATAGGAAGCGGTAGGCTAATGGCTGTTGGCCTTTCACAAAAGGCGGGGCACTGTAAACATTCCCAGAAGGACAGGGTTAAACGGTAACCTAAGACATGTTTTAATCAGTGCAGGTGGGATAAGTGAATTAGTAATCAGAGAGGTTTTCGTTGTGAGCACGGGATAGGGGAAATGCGTATTTTCTGGCTGCGAGCACATACTGTGTTCTGTTTAGGCAGCGTGACTGAAACATATTCACAATGGCAACTAGGAGAGCACCTAAGACCCAGAGCTCTGCGATCACATTCTTACACATCGGACATTTTTCTGCTTCATTGCAGCTTTAAATAGCTCAGAACAATGTAATGTATTATCTCTTTGGTTGTTCAGCAAGGATATAAAGGATAAAGAAAAAGAATGTAAACTTAGGTGGCACAGACTAAATTTGGTATCAGTTTTACTATAATACTGCTTATATTGATTTGCAATTTTTGCAAAAGACAAATGACATGCAAAGAAGAATTGACTCTTTAGTACTTTAAATATGGCCTTATGTTAAGAAGCACCATGTGTACATCATCTTTTATTGATCTCTTTTGTTTTGGCAGGAAGACATAGACAAAGCTGTGAAATTTGCCCGGCAGGCTTTCCAGCTGGGTTCTCCCTGGCGTCAGATGGACGCCTCAGGACGTGGCCGTCTGCTGGACGAGCTAGCTGACCTGGTGGAGCGCGACCGGCAGATACTGGCTGTAAGGCCCTTCTCACCCGAACGGAGCGCTGCCTGCACACCTCTTACTGTCACGTCACTGTCTAGAAATAAAGGAATACTTATTATGAGAAAGAAGAAATGTTTTCAGTTTCCTGAGAGACTCATTTTGTCCAGAGCATCATTCACTCATCCCTGATTGAATAAATAATAATAAAAAAAATAACAACAATAATAATAATAAGCGAAACCTGTTTCATGCGACTATTCTCTGTTGAACGCAGACGTTAGAGGCCATTGACTCGGGGAAGCTATTCCTAACTGCCTACTATGCGGATTTGATTGGTACAATTAAAACACTGCGTTACTACGCGGGCTGGGCTGACAAGATTCAGGGGAAGACGATCCCAGTAGGTGAGTATGTACCTTTTCTGTGTTGCGTGAATAGCTTTACCAAGGCCTTTCAGGTTCACAGCATTGCCGCTCTTCGTGGGCTATCAGCTCCTTCACCTACATACCACGAACATGATGTCATGCATGCAATAAGAGATCCATTAATTTTGCGCTGATTTTCTTTTTGTTTGAGATGGCGAGTATTTCACATTCACACGGCATGAACCAATAGGGGTGTGTGGTCAAATTATACCGGTGAGTAGTGCAGATACCGGGCTTTGTTCTTTACCCAAGAGATTACACTATCATCACGAAATTTATCTGGAATATTTGCACACCAGCAGGTAAGCCTCCATACTGACGTGTTCTTTTGTATTCCCTGTGACCCATGCGCAGTGGAACTTTCCGTTGCTGATGTTTACATGGAAGATCGCCCCAGCACTGTGCTGCGGAAATACCGTGGTCATCAAACCGGCCGAGCAGACGCCTCTGTCCGCTCTCCACATGGCAGCACTCATCAAAGAGGTGAGGCTACAGCAGAGTCCCACAAACTAAGAAGTCTGGATGTTCTCCCCATGTTCTCCCCATGTTCTCCCCATGTTCTCACCATGTTACCAGGACTCTGCATGTTCTCCCCAAGCAACAAGGAGCCTGCATGTTCTCCTCATGCTGTGAGGAGTCTGCATGTTCTCCCCATGTTCTCCCCATGTTGCAAGGAATCTGCATGTTCTTCCGAAGATCTCCCCATGTTGTGAGGAGTCTCCATGTTCTCCCCATAATTTGTCACACCAATGTTCATTCTTCATTGATTTCCTGACTAGTTTGTTTGACCACATTTTCTTTGTAAAAAAAAAATTAAGAAGCAGTGACATCATTTGTGATGACTTGTGGCCTTTTGTCTTTTGTCAGGCAGGATTTCCCGCAGGTGTTGTAAATGTCGTACCGGGGTACGGGCCCACAGCAGGCCATGCCATCGCCCATCACATGGACATTGACAAAGTGGCCTTCACCGGCTCCACGAACGTATGTCATGTGCTTTCTGAGCCTCCACTCACACCTCAGATAGAAGCTGGCCCTGTGCTACTCATATTCATTTATTTATTTACATTTATCTGACACCTTTAAGTAGAGGGAAAGACCGTTGTACTGTGAGCGCTATGTTGGAGCTATTTATTTGCCTATTATTTTTTTTTTTTTTATTTTATGTTTAAAATTTTATTGTAATAATTTAAAAGATTTATTAAATTGATTAAGGAATTTGCATGGTGGCCTGACACCGCTGGATGATATATGGATGATAGTGAAGCACAGTGGTTCATTTTTTAATTTCTCTGCCTTCATTGCAGGTTGGAAAACTCATTAAAAAGGCAGCTGGGGACAGTAACCTGAAGCGTGTCACTCTGGAACTTGGAGGAAAGAGTCCCAACATTGTTTTTGCAGATTGTGACTGTGAGTCATATTTTTCTATGTTTGTAGTTCAGCTTTAGTTTCCGTGTCATTTCCATATTAACACATTTGTTAACAGTGAATGCAAATCATGATCAGTACAGGGTCTTCTTTTTCGAATTGCGATTGGTTGCAAATTAATTAAAAATGAACCATGATTCTGACTAATTATGCGAACGTTAGAGCATTTTATAAACTCTCCTCAGCAGTCTCAGATCCTCTACAGATTGCATTGAAATATGTTTAGAAATTTTTCAATGGCTGTTTTATTTTTCAGCGTTTGTGAAGGATTTGGATGAGTTTTTGATCGATATTAATAAAACGGTCTCTCACTGTCCATAATATCTCAGAGTAACAGAAAATGCATTGCCAGTGTTTAATTGTCTTGTCTGAGATCTTTCCTGTCTCCCCTCCGAACTGGCGCAGTGGAACATGCCGTGGAGCAAGCCCACCATGGCCTGTTCTTCAACCAGGGCCAGTGCTGCATCGCAGGGTCCAGGGTGTTTGTGGAAGAGCCCATTTATGAGGAGTTTGTGCGCAGGAGTGTGGAGCGTGCCAAGAGGCGAGTCCTGGGAAACCCTTTAGTACCTGGTGTGGACCAGGGACCACAGGTATTGGGCTATAGCGCTAAACTGACAGGCCTGATACTGGGCGAGCTTGTGAATGTGTCAGATTCTGGTTTGGCATCAGAATTGAAATGAAAAAAGGAAAAAAAAAACATTTGTAACCGTCTGAACACTTTTAGGAGGGGCTGGAGGAAAATGTGATGGGAACTGACCCCGTCAGCCCCCCTTAGTCAGCCATGTGTATTAATTAGTATTGACGACGGGTATGAAATTAGTCTTAAATTTAAAAAAAACTGTTTTTCAGGCATTGCAAAGCGATAGCCAATGTCACATAGAGTAGCCACTTTATATTTTGTAAACAATGCGCTTTTCATTAAGTGTTTAGAGTTATATCAGGGATTAGATAAGAATAACTTATTGATATTTATTCATGTTTTGCACCAGGCGACTGATAAAGTCTTTGGTTTATGTGACGCACATGGTCTTTCAGATTGATAAGAAACAGTTTGATAAAATCCTGGAGCTCATTGAAAGTGGGAAGAGAGACGGGGCAAAACTGGAGTGCGGTGGCAGGGCCTGGGGGCAGAAGGGCCTCTTCATTCAGCCCACAGTCTTCTCAGATGTCACCGATGACATGCGCATCGCCAAAGAAGAGGTGAGCGCTCCGTGAGACACACGGGGAACACTTCCCAGCCTTCCCCCCAAAAAGGGCAGCCGGAACGTTTCCCAGCTGCCCCCCACTTTGACATTTCCGGCAGACCTTTTGGGGGCATCTGCAGGTCAGCTTTCATGGAGGACCAATGCCAGGCCTCTCCATAGCTACCTCGTTCTACTGAACATTCTACACTCATGCTAAGACCTTTGCTAATTAAGAAGAAGCTATTAGCTCAGCCTCTGTAATACGTGAGTTATTTATGAGATCAAGAATGTCAATGTGAACAAGAATGTTATTTTGTACTAGATATTTGGACCAGTCCAGCAGATAATGAAGTTCAGCAGTACTGAGGAAGTGATTAAGAGGGCAAATAACACGCAGTACGGATTGGCAGCAGGACTCTTCACCAACGACCTTAACAAAGCACTCACCATCTCCTCTGCACTGCAGGCTGGTACAGTCTGGTAAGAAAACTGGCTACTCAAATTCAATGACAATTGCAAGATTAAAGGATTTCAGTGTTGCATGGGTTCGAGTGGTTTTCTTTTGATCAAACAGATTTTTGGAATGTATTACTTGGTCTTTGAAGAATGATACCAGTTTTGCGCAGCCTTTGTGGAACATCTCTTTTGGAGGAAAAGACACCGGGAACTTGGTAGCCATCATTAGCACAAGAATGTATTTGAGGTTGGGGGTGCTGTGTTTCTGTAACACTCTACTTGGCAGGGCACAAATACTTAGTAATAACTCAGTTACTACTGAAGTACATATTATGACTAAATCAAGAACAAAGATAGTTGCTACTTAGTTACTAAAAGTTGCACTAAGATTCATTAATGATGAGAAAACGTTACATTGGCATTTCATGTGTATTCATGACTTGTTCCTTCAGTAATTCCTTAGTAGCTCTTCAGTAGTTCACAAAGGTTTACAGAATTAACAGCTATAGTAACAAATACAGTGGTACCTCGGTTCTCGAACTTAATCCGTTCCGGATTCCGGATCGAATCCTAAAAAGTTCGAGTTCTGATCGAATTTTTCCCATATTAAATAATGGAAAACCAATTAATTGGTTCCCAGTCCCCCAAAATTACACCTAAATATGTTTTTTTTTTTTAGGATTTAAACACAAAATGAACAGGATAAAACAAGAAGAGCATTTTTTTCTTAATGGCTTCCAAATCGATAAAGATCTTATCCCAACATTACCCCTGTCCTTCCCCGATCGTCCGCTCCTTCCATGTGCCACGCCCCCTCGTTAACCTCGTGTGGGATCCCCATGTGATCAGCTGTTTCTGGTTGTTGTCATTAGTCCTCTGTATTAAGTCCACGTTTCAGTTTGTTACCCCAGTCCGGTCATTGGGTGCGTTCGACTTGCTTACAGCGCTGGCTTAAAGCAACGCATTCTGATCCTGACGCAGTGCATTACGGTTAGATGCATTGTGACCTCTCACCCTACTGCACAAACTGGAACCGTCTCCGTGACGACACACCTTTGCCCTTATTGGATGAAGAGTTTAGTTACACGCATGACGTTTGTATCCCAGGCAGTTCCGATGCGTAATCTGCTATTTCTCCCGAATATCACATTATGCAGTGAGAACTGGTTTTCAGTTAATTTACCTGGTAAAATGAAGTTGAAATAAATGACATAAATGCTCTAATAGTACACGTACGTTAGTGGTTTATTTATTGTTAGTTACTGTAATGTTGCGCTGCTTTATTTGGTTAATCGTCCAGTCTGTGAAGAAGGCATTCAAGTAAGAATTGCATTGTAGTATGACTCATCACCTGGTGCGGACAATTTATATTAGATCAGTGTTCACGGTTCGACTTCTGATATTCAGATCGAGTTCTAGGTAAAACTGGTTTGTTCGACTTTCAAGAAATTTGAGTTCTAGTAAGTTCGAGAACCGAGGTACCACTGTATAGTAATCGCTTGAGGTAAAACATACGTCATGATTCATTAATGATGAATTAACATAAGGTCAACATGTAAGACTTAGTTTGTGGTTAATTAATGCATTAGTGTAATGTACTAGTGTAATACTATATTATTTGTGCCCCGTCAGGTAAAGTGTTACTAGTTTGTTTGGACAAGTTCGCATGAAGTTTATGTCACCACCTGAAGAAATTAGTGTGAGTGTGACTCACAAAAAAGTTGTTTGCTATGTAGCATTGTTCGCTGAGGCTGTGATTGCCATGTAGCATTGTTCGCTGAGGCTGTGATTGCCGTGTTGCATTGTTCGCTGAAGCTGTGATTGCCGTGTTGCATTGTTCGCTGAGGCTGTTATTGCCGTGTAGCATTGTTCGCTCAGTTACTACACAAGTACAAATTATGAGCAAATACAGTAACTGTATGAAATACATGAACCGTTATGATGGATTAATGATAAGCAAGCATGAGATCAGTATGTAACTAACACTTAGTTTCTGGTTAATTAATACATTAAGTAAGAGTGTACTACAACGTTATTTGTGCCCCTTCAAGTAAAGTGTTACCCATTTTTTTTTTTTTATCGAGCTGGGGCAGTTTCAGCTAAGGACAAGGGCCTCTGTTCCAGTGAGAAAAATCCGCCATCCTTTTAGGAACAAAGCCCTTAATGATGAATTAACATGAGATCAGTATGTAACTAAGACTTAGTTTGTGATTAATTAATGCATAAGTAATGGTTTAATAATATATTTGTGTCCCGTCAAGTAAAGTGTTACCGATGAAGCCAGAGCTTGTTTTATGTTCATTGAATGCTGACCTTGTGGTTGAGCTCAGATGGTGTAACCTTGTAGTATACATCAAATAAAGAAATGAAAGCCCGCAACTGTCCTCTCGCAGCAGGAGGTATAAGACAGCAGAGGAGCGGATCTAAATAGACGTCCATTGGGTCTCACTGACAGAGCGGCTTCTGGGCATGCAGTCACTCTGGCCCTCTGACTTCCTGTAAAGTACTCTCTCCTCCTCATTCTCAGAACTCACTGTCACTTTATCATAGGGCTTGAAAACGAGGGCCTTGTAATACACTTAACCTTTCTCCTCTTGCCAAAAGTACATTCTTCTCTGAAACGGAAGGGTTCTGTCTTTTACGACAGGTGACAGAGCAATAATTTGAGTGACGATGTCAGTGCTAATGTAGGTTTAAAAAAGAATAAGGAAGAAATGTCATTTGCCTAACCCATGTTGATCCAGTTTTTTTGTTGATATAAATAGAAAAGGCTTTAAAAATCCAAAGCGGATAAAGTTACCATGTGTTGTAAATAACTGGTTTGACCCGTTTCTCAATAGTTATTTGTTGGGTTCTATTGGTTTAAACCCTGGAGTGAATTACAGTGCACAGTGATCCTGCTGACAATGGGTTTCGAAGCCTCATTGTCATGGATACATGGAACCATAAAATAGAGTATGGGCCACAAAATCCCTGTCTTATACATTGTATTGGCCTTGGTTTCAATTTAATGATGTGTGATTTTGGAGGCTACAATCTCTTATTAGTGAATGCAGGGCTTTTGTTTTTGCAATCCTTTAATCCTTAAAAAGACTGAAAAACAGCACAGATTGTTGAACTGTGTAAAAGCTGATAACTGATAACAGTTCAATTTTGGGTCATCTAAACAATTAAGCAGACATTTATATGAAAATGATATAATCATGTTCTCATTGCAGGTGCATATTAACATTCAAGAGACATTGTAGAAAATACATTTAATCAGTAAACTGACTTACAAGCTGTTTCCATTTTCTTGTTTTTTTTAGGGTCAACTGCTATGGCGCAGTGTCTTCTCAGTGCCCGTTTGGTGGATATAAGATGTCAGGAAACGGAAGGGAAATGTAAGTTATTTCCGTCATTACACATGAATAGGATTACCTCTTTCTTTTATAGACATGATTTCAATATAAAATTTTCATAGTCTATGTAGTGTATCATTATTTTTTTGAAAGGTCACTTGCATTTCACTGTGGAAAAGCTCAAGCGGAGTAAATGTAGTGCACTGAGGTAAACAACTACTCATTTAGCACTTTCCTTTGTCTTCCATGCAGGGGTGAATATGGTCTGGAGGAATACACAGAAGTAAAGACTGTGACCATCAAAATACCACAGAAGAATTCATAAATTAAAATCCCTCGTGGGACTGCATATGACGTACATTTAGTGCTGTGTGTAGGTTATTCTTCCAGCTGTTTTGAATGTTGCTATTAACCGCCATTATTTAGTATAACGTTTCAGTCTCTACTAAGTATGAATGAGCACGATGACTTAACTGCTTAAGATCTGAAATAAATTTGCAATATTCATGAGTTATAATTATTTACAAAATCCAAGAAATCTTAATGCAACCGAATCATTACTATAAAAACAACAGATGCAGCCAAGCAAGTTATTTAAATTTTCAAAGTCATGCAATATTTTGTGTATACCAGTGCATCCTGGTATATATAGGCTAGGCCAAGATGGAGACATTAATAGTTGTTGCTATGTGTTATTTCTGAAAAATTAAGCAGTATTTTAGGTACAGTACTACTATGGACTCATCTGTCTTCCAACCACTGAACCTGGTCAGGGCCTGGAGCCCAGGCCAGGCAGCACAGAGCACAAGGCTGCTTTACACCCTGCATGGGTTCCAGGCCATTTCAGGGCAAGATAGGTTCACAAAGGTAATTATGCCAACTGTAGATATTTTTACATTGTTTTTTTCTTTAAACATGTGAAACAAACCATGTATAACATTTGAAGAGTAGTGGATAACTGATCATATTACAGATGCTAGCCAATTGAGAACAGGTGTGACGAAGTAAAATACAGTATGGCAATGTAACACGGAAATGTATAAAGTATATTAGAATTTTTAGCTGAATACATAGATTGATCCTATATTACCTCAGTTGCTCATACATTATCTTTATAGGTACAAACAAGGCTAAATTTGTTGTTAAATCTTTGATTATTAATGCATTACTACTAAAATAAAGCAAATATATGATTAAATAATGAATAAAATCTATAAATGTCTCATTCTGCCCAGAAACATGGCAGATGGTGTTTGGAAAAGTTGCTCAGTAACATTCAGTACAATGACATCATAGAAGGCAGAGCACAACGGTTCATTGCTTTTATTTCACTGATGACCTTCTTATTTTATTAAGTTTAGAGGTAGTGTTTTGGGCTAGCTTCCTAAATATAAATAATTCTTTTACCCATTTGAAATCGGTGTTTCAGTGTTGCTCAACAAGCCTAAGTTGGTAAATTGAATATAAAAGTCTAATGTGTTATAATTCTGTTGCTGAATCGGTGTATCGGTACTGACAATAAAAATTGCTAATGCTTATCAGTGTGCATTTCATGACCAAGGAGTATATGATTTTTGAGTTTTATTATGCATTTATTTGACAAAACATTACTAGTGTAGCGTAAAAGAATTTTCCAAATCAGAATTCAACCTCTATCACATTAAAGGAATCTTCAGTGCCGCTATTTCCAGCATCAACTGGAAGGCAAACTGTCACACAGTATCAATCAGAGTATGTCACACATCAATTTGTACAGTTTTGATATTTTAAATTTCAATTTACATATTAACATATATACACGACAAAAATATCAACAGTGATAACCACACCCATAATCTTTTCAAAGTGAAATATATTATTAAACAAGGCTCTTGCTCATATGCAGGTAACATACGTCTTGTTTCCTTTAATTTTCATATTAAGAGAAAGTCATGGACTTTACATGTACGTTCAATAAAACTGAAATATTTTTCATCAACTATATAAGAAGTATATAAAAAGAACACTATTTGCTGTACTCTATAATTCTCTTATAATTAATATTGCATAGATGTGCTTCAGAGGGCATATTTTGCAAGGTCAAAAATGGATTATTTTCGCAGCAAAAATACGACATGTGGCAATGACTCCAGTCATATATGTCTGTACTGTATGTGTGTGAGTAGGAGAGATAGAATACTTATGGTTGGTTCAATGGTTGAATCTGTTTGTAAACTTGCAAAAGGCATGCTAACAATTGTATATAGTAGGTGTATGACATAGTTTTCTATTTAAAAATGCACACTATGTACATTTACATGACGAGTGACACTAGAATGAACCCCGAAGAATGCATTACTAACGGTTTGCATAGTGGTCATGAATTTTACATGCATTTCCAATCACATGAATTATTCTTTATGGAGAATTCCCAAAAAGGGCCATTTTAATTTGGCATGCTCATAATTTACGTTACACTTTGTTTTCTTTTTTAGACATATTTGTAGATTTGTTCATTTCTTTGTAGATAGTGGATAGTTGGTAGCGTATAACTGACTTCATAAAGCAGCGTCAGTTTAACTTCTAATATTATTAGAAATATTTTTTCTAATATTAGAAATTTTATTGAAACAATTCAAAAATTAACTTAGGGCATTCTGTTTAAAGTGCACACTTGGTGTGTATAGTTGTGTGAGTGTATTTGGATATTTGATTGGTATGTTTGTAGTGCATGAGGGGGAACCACTACCACCTGATAACCTGGCCCCTCCCTCTTGCACTCCCAGGCGATACAATCTGTAGTCGAGGCATTCCAGGGAGATGGCCCACCATTCGGGGCCCGGGGGGCCGTGTAACAGCATTCCGGAATCTTCCGTCTGCTCCATTGGCCATAGTCCCATTCTTTGGAGACAACTTCAGAGACTCACCCATCTCTCTCTTGCCTTGGAAATGAAAGAGAATAATTTTTTTAAAAAAGATTACACATCTTAGCTCTATCATCTTTCAATACCACCCTATATTTATATGAAATTTATGACAATTAATTATGGTATATATTTATTAAAACACCCATATAAGCATTACCTTCAGTGCTATCTTTGGTAGACAGCTGGATAACTGTCTTTTTGGGCAGTAGTTCCTCTAAATCCTTCATGATGTGATTACTGCTGTCTTTATTGTTCATCTGGTTCTTTTCTTCCTCTCTTCTCTGGGGATAAGTGTCAAAACACCTCAAAAGATCAGTTTTACAATGCCACATAGATTGTTACTACTTTTACTTTGTTTTGGTGGCTATTCTTACTCACCATACGCAGCTTCTTCCTAAGATCAGCATTTGTTTTTTGATATGATTTAGAAACTATCTTCAGATAGTATATAACCAACCTTTTGACAGAGAAAAACAGTACAAGTTGCACACTGACATTTCAGCCCACATACAATGCAACGGTTGTCTTTAATAAAGCATAATTCATTTAAGAAAATCATTACACCTTTCAATAACTTTTACAACAATGGTGTTCATATAGTATTACTAACTGCTTACTTAAATATGTAAATATCCATTTGCTAAATTGACTTAATAGTACATCAGCATGACCCAATATCACCAGCAATCCCAGCTCTCAATCTGTTCATGATGACTGTTAATTTTGCAAAAATATATAATAAAAAAAAACAGTATACATTATTTGGGAAGCAGATGGTAGCTTCCCTAAATACCAAAATGAGTTCAGGAAGTCTACATCATACAAGTGGGTGACATCATGCTAACTCTACACAATCCATTGCACAACTATGAAATTTTCTTACATTCATTGCTCTAGATTTGTCTATGTCTCTACTCACACCATCAGTATCACAACCAGGACGACCACTCCAGGGTTGAGCGCGTAACTGAAGAATGTAACCCAAAATGCAGAGAAGTCCTTTTCTATTGTCTCAGTGATGATGTCATACATTTTCTGTTTCTCACTGTTTTAGGAGTAAGAATTACAGTCAAGTCAAGCTCTTCTGCAGATAAATGAGAAATATACTACACTGGGTGGAGGAAATTTGCAAATACATAGTTACAAATAACCAAACTTTCCACAAGACAAATATATTTAACACAGCAATTAATATAAACACAAATCAATATCAATGTCATTGAAAGAATTTTAGTGATCAGACCTCATAAATCTGCATCTCGTATTGAGTTTATGGGGTGGTACCTGAAGGGGCCACAGTCGAATGAGGGTGGAAAAACCATGATTGCATAGAGCACAGGGATTATGCTTGCACAGAGCATGATGAACAAGAGGACTTTGTAGAAATGACTGGAGATTCTGAAGGGCTTTGAATGAGGTATGTTGCAACACATCACTGCCCAACTCTGAATGTACATGGATGTCACGAGGCGAATCATATTGACACCTAAAAGGCCAGGAGAAAAGAAGGTTCCTACCCTGAAACATAAATGTTTATATTTAGCTTTTTTTAATTATGATTATGATGCAATTGCATTATCAACAAATAGCTTCTTTGCAATCTATAATGTAAAGGGACAAAACACCAGCAACAGATAATGCAACCAATCAAAATTCCCTGACCATCTCACTCCCTAGATGTGAGTCTGGATTATGTCACCAATTGATTTGAATACCCCTGGTTTTACTGGCTGATTCTATAATCAACGGTTATTACGAGACATGATTGAAGAGTCAATGCTGAGCCAATAGAACCTATTCCTGTAGTTCAAACTATAGGTGCCCTGCATGACCAAGGTCTACAACTCGTCAACATGGGAATGTATAGGGCAGGGATGGCAGACCTGATCCATGGACAGCCAGGGCAGGTACGGGTTTTTGGGATGACTTCTCAATCAGCCAATAATAAAGCAGCGGTTCTCAACTCCAGTCCAGAGGACCCACTGTTATTGGCTGATTGAGAGGTCATCCCAAAAACCCAGACCTACAGCAGTTCTCCATGGATCAAGTTCAAAACCCCTAGTATAGAAGTAGCACTCAATATGCAATAAAACACAAATCACATTTTTTTTTCAACCAAGAACAATTAGAAAAACTGGTACAAAATGTATTTACCGTTTGAACGCAGCTGCTTCCTAGACCTTATAAACTTCAACATTCTTAGCAGCCAATTAAAAATGTGCTTAATTTGTCAACACATGCTTGAGAAATTTTTGAAAGAGCCACAGCAATAACTGAAGTAACTATTCCATATTTTGACATCATTCAGTCATTTATCGTGGTGTTGGAAAATGAATGAATGAATGAATGAATAATGGCTTCTCTTAAATGGCATGGAAACATTTTTGTAAAATGGTTCATTTTATTTTAAATAAAATCACTAAACAAATCCTGACTGCTAGTTGTTGTTTACACAAAAGCTTTCTTGTTTACCACTTACCAAATCACCGCTTGACTGAAGAGAATTGTCAGAACATTCCCACTAATGTCGAACTCTCCATACGATGGCTAAAATATGTCAAACGAAAAATTCAAAATTATCTTCCTTATATTAATGCAGAAACATGCACTTTATTCTGTTGTTTACGCAGTATATAGCTATGATAGCGTTTAACACTCACAAATCCTGCTTCAAGGTCCCAGCACCAGCAATAGTTCAGGTAGCGAACAAGCAAGGCTCGGAGAAAATCACTAAATAAGATGGTCAGATAGGCCAGCTCGATGTTAGAAACTGTCAGTTTCATGAATTCCTGAGAAAAAATTGATGACTTTTGTAGGTTATTCCACAAAAGGGTAACTTAAAAAATTGAGAATTCACATATTCTAAACAAAATTTTCAGTCTTATCTCTGCAATTTATTTCCTGGTGGAGATTTTAATTTTCATAGAAAACAGATATACGTTGGCAAACATACTGGCCTGTTAATAATTTGTCCGTGAGCATACTGTAGTTTGTAACTACACAGAAGGGGGTAAAGCCAAATGAAATATTGGGGGGTACATGTGCCCCAGCTTCTGACACTCCTGGAGACATCTTAACATTGTTAAAGTGAAAAATGACTTACAATCCCGATGCCGGTCTCCCAGCACGGTCCCTGCATGACGTCAGCGGGGTGGAGGGCAGGCTGGGCGACGGCGCTGCTGTTACTCAGCATTGTGCCGTTGCCATAGTTCTCCTTCATTGCCCACATTGTGGCATTTTTAATGGCATTCTCCTTTTCAAACTGGAAGACAACACATGCTGCCTCACATCTCCACACCGTCTCATTGGTGACCAGTCCGAGATACTACCAAAAATCCAGTATCTCAGCTGTCATTAGGCCGAACCTCAACATCTTCAACATTTCAAACATGTAAAATAAAGTCCAAATATATGACTTTATGGAAAAAGCTCTATAACAGTATTTTGTAAAGGGACTTCCATTTAATAGTATATATAATATCATACAGATGTATATCTGCATAGCTTTGCTGCATTCATCATTTTTAAACACAATGCCTATGTCTGCTTTATGTGCCTTGCAAGCCACATACTCCAAAGTTCATTTACATATTAAACACACAGAAAGAGAGTTACTATTTTACCTTTAAGGGCACTTCATCGTACAGGGCAAAAGTAAGGCTGTATAAGTTTGCAATAAAGAGTGCAAGTATTCGCCATAACTGCCACTTCAGGGCAACACGGGGATGAAACTCCTCCATTTCAGAGATGCCTTCAAAAAGGGGAGGAACTGCAACTCCAAGCAGCGAAACCACCAACTCAAGCTGACGGTCAGAAGAACAACAATCATCACACACATCTTTGTGGGGACATGCCACAGTGGTACATGAACTCTTCATTAAAAATGATATCTCAAACATTCTAATCATCTATCGCCGATCCACTTATCTAGTAAAGGGTCACACTAAGCGTGAAGTCGCACCGGGCAGAGGACCACCCAAGAAGGAGGACAGCCCATCACAGGACAAACCGTTACTACAGGCAATTCAGAAGACGCTCATTTGCTTAATTGAGCATTTTCATTACAGAAAGAAACCTGTGCTATTTGGGAAGGAGGTGAATAAACTCCACCTGTCCATCATGCTGCCCATCTCTCAAAAACTTTATATTTGATCAAGAATATCTAGCACAATTAATTTTTAGTATTAATGGGCATTTGATAACTGAATCGCTTAATTCAATCTCAAATCTTTAAACAACCAGACATTTTCTATTGTTATCAGTCAATGCTTCACATTCTTTGACTATATTTGCCTTTTGCTTTTGCTTACAGAACTTGTTCAGTCGCTGCAGATTAGTGGAAATCTTGCATGAATAGCCTGCCTCAGTTTTGCCATGTATAAATTCCTCTAATACTACTCAGATTTCATAGATATAGAAACCCTTACTTTCACAATACTAAAAATACTAATAATAGTAATAATAGTGATTTTGACTGAACAAGGACCTACATTTGGAGTTCACAGTCTTTCAACTAGAATTATTAAATTGTGATATTATTTTTATAGGTATTTTACATAAATATTCTATTTCATGTGTGGCTCAGCAGGTTCGGCCATTCAGAAGGTCGTCGGTTCAGTTTCCAGGGTCAGCAGTGATGTCACTTTTGGGTTCCTGAGCAAGGCCATAAATCCTAATTACTCCAAGGATTATCTGACCCTGCTTTCTCAAAACTGCATGTCACTTTAGATATAAGTATATATACACATTATATAAGTAAATAAATTAAAGGTAAGTCATATGTTACTATGAAAGTCATGCTGCTCTTATCTCCGTTATTTGTAATAACAATCAACAAGACAATTAAAAAATAAAACATTCTTTTTAAAAAACTAAATATATTTCTCCACAACCCTGTACTACATAAAGTCATGGAAATTTGATGGAAGGTTAAATACATCTATGTGCAACATGGAATCCACCATACAAACACCATCACAATGTTCTGTAGAGCTAACAACCATAAATATTATTACCTCATTTTTCTCCATCCATGTTACTTTATCCTTGTCCATGGCAGCAAATACGACTGATCTCTTCACAACATAGTAAATAAGATAGCCACTCCCGCAAAGACACAAAAAAGTGATGAGGTTGGCCAAAACGCGAAGACACCTTCTTGCATGCACGTTTTCACAACGTTTTTTATCCTCTTCATCCACAATGGATTCCTGTAAGAATTATCAGTCCGATATTACAGTTAGTGTTACGGCAATTAAAACCACATCCATAATGTTTTGAATAGATTATGTTAGTACTGCTGACTCATTCCTTCAGCGTTCATAAGGAGCCGAATATTTTGACCATTTTGGAAGAGTCCGCATTTAGCTGGAAAAGCTCTATAACTCATTAAAAATTTAGTTGTGTGGAGTTGGACAGAAAATTTGTTGCTGTTCGCCAGTTTGGTATTGATGCCGAATATAAGGAAGAACTATTGAAATGACACAATAAGCATTTTCCGCTCATGATGCTTGGGTTGTCATGGTTACCTTAATGTTTGTGATGATTGCAGCAAACTTGCTGTCAGCCGCTTCAGAGTTGCCTATAAGGAAATCCCAGCTAGTGAACAGGATCCAAGAAAATGCAAACTCTCTTTCCTCTGCTTCTTCACTTGCAACACTGGAGCCCGTGGCTATGCTGTACAGGCAGGCAAACAGGCCAGGGAAACCAGCATTAATTAAAAAAAATACACATACAATTATATAATATCTTTCCTAACTATTCATCCCTGTTCTTCTTCCTAGTCTATTCTGTTGCTATATATATAATAGGAGTGGGAATATGTCATGCTGCCCAAGCGATGAAAGTGAAACTATCATGTATGCAGAATATATTGCTTAATTGCTTCTATCATACAATTCAATGGTATTAAACGTCTGACATACTAATCAGCAACAGCCTAATTATGAAAATATATATAAAAAGAACCATAGTCATGTTCCAAATAATAATAATAAAAATAATAATATAATTATAGTATTGTTATTAATAATAATATAAGTAGTATTATTGTTAACAATAATAATAGTAATAATAATAATAATTCTGAGAGCTCACGCTGCCAAGCCACAGCTTGATCCTGTGATCTCATCTCAGTTTTTCTAGTGCTTACATTTTTTTCCCATGATTTCACCTTATAAGCTGATATTTTGTAATACATTAGGCTCGCAAATAGGGTGATACCTCTATTTTGTCAAAACTGTATCTATTTGCAATTGTTTGCATACCTTCTAACCACAGCAATTAGGCTGTAAACAAATGTTCCAATTCCAACCAGAAAGTAAGCCAGAGGTAGCCTGTAGTGCAAAAAGCCAACTGTCCTCTGGTTATTGTAATATCCATAAAACAGAGGAGAATACTTGAAATAACCCTGCAAAAAGAAAACAGCACATTATCATGCTTATCAGTTCAGATTCACGCCATAAAAATGGCACCCCTGGCTGGATGCATTGCAATCTGCAAGAGATGCCACTAGGTCATTGGTTCTCATCCTGCAAGATCTGTGACCTTTGTCTCTATCACTGTTGGCTAAGAACCTAAAGACGATGCCAGATAACCAGCTATCATTTGTTATTACTGCTCCCAATCATGTTGATTTACTTTGTATAACATCAGGAAGATCAAACCTCATCTGACAGAATATGCAAATCAGCTCCTTATCCATAGTTGTCATCTTATCACTCGATTACTATCTCTTTACTGACTGGGCTGCCAGCAAATGCTGTGAATCCACTGTGGACGACTCAAAGTGAGGCAGCACAACTGGTATAAAATCAGACAAAATGCAATAATGTTACACCTTATCTCCCTCCATTGCCTGCCAATAGATGCTCAAATAAACTTCAAGTCCTAAAACATTTGCCTGTTCATCAGAACCACTATTCCATCTCACTCTCTATGCTAAGCAAGTGGTTGTATTCTGACTTCTGGTGTGATTTAAATAGAATTTCCTAGATTAGGTTCCAACTGTGTTTTGAATAGCTTTTGCTTCAATACTATCCTGCATTTGTCACTGGTAACCCATTGCAAACGTAGTCTAGCAACACTTGTATCTAAGAAGGCTCTTCTATGCCTGTATGCTTCTGATACATTATCTCCCTGACTTGTATGTCACTACGGACAAAAGTGTCTAATGAATAAATAAATGTAATGGTAAGGTATATTTAAAAAGACATGGTACTTTTACTTTGTGCAAATGGTATTACAAGAATAAGACAAGTGTTACTTATGAATCATGAACATGAAGCATTTCTCTGACCCCAAAGCACATACAAGCAAGGTAAATCCATTTATAAGGCTCTCTCACTTCAAACTCCAGCAGAATGGCCACATCCATTGCTTTATCTTTCTCTGAATTGGGCACGATTTTCCTCGGAATTGTCCCATATGGGGCACCCAACAGAACCTATCGTACACGGCATTAAAAAATAAACCAGAAGAGAGTTAAGTGTTAACAGCAGAATCCAGAAATATCATATAAAAACTATATAGTAATGCAATGTCTGCTTTAAATAATCCCAGATATTATTGGACAATTTTGTGTGCAAAAGAAATTAAACCATCTGTTTTTGCACAATACAAAGATAATAATTTAGTGGGTTGTATTCATATGTATGTGATTGCTAACCAAAAAAATGTGTATTTATTGATAAACTCGTTAAAGACAAATAAGATAATTAAGATAAATAAATGAGTACAATTTTAGCCCAGTGGTTTCTAATGAAAATGCCATCACCTCAGGCAGCACGACCAGTCCAAACACTAAAACAAAAAGCATCAGATTCATCCCATATAGCCACCTCAGAAATATAAAGTAGGAGCCGACTGAAGCGCCGAAATGACCTGAGGAAACAAAAGGAGAAAAATTCATTTGTAACAAAGTATCACACTTACTCCAATTGCACCACATGGCATGTAACTTAAATAATAATATGTCTCAAATAATACTATTGTTAAAGACAGAACTACACCTGCTTTCTGACCAAAATGTACTCATAAAATGAATGAATGTTTGAATACTTACTTTCCACTTCTTTTATTCTCTTTTCCCAAGGGATAAAAGCAGTCATTATATTTTTAAAAGCTCTATTAAATTTATTCCATTTCTGAAAGGAAAAAAAAATTGTAAGCATTCAGAGAAGTAAGGAAATTATATACTGTTCTGCAAAAGCACTCAAGCGTTACCTTTGACATCGTTACTTTGAGGATATATAGTGTTTGACCTTTGCCCTTTCCCAAATATCCCTCAAATTTCTCCACAAACTGCTGAGCATCTCTGGAAAAAATGTTTAAAACAAAGCGAAACAAAAATAAATGAACACATATATCACAGTGATTTACTAGTTAATTTCTCAACATATGGAGATATTAGCAAACAGGCCAGAGAAGCTCAAAAAATGCAAGGTTTTTACGTAGCTTCTGGGAAATATTGCTGAGAGAAAACACTTAGAGACAGGGGACAGAGGTCCCGGAAGCTGACCTCTATCCAGGATACATTTAGAGACAGGGGACAGAGGTCCCGGAAGCTGACCTCTATCCA